CTCTTAAAAATGTAATATTATTGTAACTTTTCAATTAACTATAATGTCTTCTTCCTCTTTTTTTATATAGGCAAATTGCCCGTTTTCTTCCTATTCGTGTGGATAATTTCGTTTTATCTCTTTCTTTCCAGGGCTAATCTAACTATGATAGTTTCTACCATTCTGCTAATATAACTGATTCATTTTCTTTTTCTTTCCTGTACCAATTAAATAATATTGTTTATTCTGCATAGTTTCTTATGTCATTGCTTTTTGTTCTGTTTAATAAGTCTTTTTCCGGTTATTCTTCTTCGTGTTCTCATCTCATTTTTCTTCAAATATCTATGCTTGTGTCTGTACAAATAGATTAATATTGTTTATTCTGCATAGGTTTCTCATATCACTGATTCTTGTTTTGTCTAATAGTCTTTTTCCTGTCATTTTTCTTAGTATTCTCATCTCATTTGTCTCCAAATATCTGTGCTTTTATCTGATCTTGTTCCTACTGTATATGTCATGACTGGTCGGATTACAGATTTGTTTATTTATGCTTATTTGTCTAGATCTAGTGTCTGTTTCACCGTATTGTGTCATTGTAGCACTTATCCCCTTATTTTCTCTTCAATATTTTTGTTGGTCGATAAGTTTATTCCCATATATTTAAATTTTAATACTTGTTTTATCAGTAGGTTTTCAATCTGAACTTTCTTTCACCTTGTTGGTTCCTTTGACAATACTAAACTTTTCATAATAAGTGATCAAATTTTCATATTAAATCGTTTGGTTTTAATATTAAATTGGTGTAGTATTTATTGGAGATCATCTTCGTTCTCTGTTATCAAGAACTCGTCATAAACATCGCATATTATCTTTATCTCCTTGCTTGCCGGTTGTTTTTTTTTTATTTTTACTAGCTTAAAACCTCTCAATACTATATTAAATATAAAAGAATAAATATTACAACTGGACTTCCATATCTGATTCCAGTTGTAGTGTTTATAGATTCTTTTTTTTTCTATTTGAACTTTTGCTTCGGTTCTGTTTCTTACATGTCGGTTCTCTATTATTTTTATGATATCAAGTAATCTGGATTATCTGTTGTACAGATGTATATCGCATCCGATAGTCTCACTGTGTCGTAGGACATTTCTAAATTAACCAAACATAGTTAGGCTAGTTCATTATATTATTATATACTTCTCTGCACAAGAAACTTGTTGTTAGTCTGGTATACTAATCTTTTCTTCAAATTATTTGATATTATTTTTAATATTTATTTCAAAATAGTACTTAACAATTCCTTTAGAGTATTATGGTCGCACATTACACCTATTGTAAAAGAAAAAACATAATACTCGTTCTCCACTCCTCATGTATTGTTGATGACCTTAACCCTTTATTAAATATTATGGTTAACTGTTGTATAAGCCATATTTTATTAATTTCTTTTCTGTTTTTTAACTTTATGATGACTTCTTTTATCTCATGTTTTTATCATTTGCGTTAACTCATTTGATGTTATATCGGGAGTTTCAAGAGCATGTTCAGTTTCCTTTGTTCGTTTTATTTGTCTAATATTATGTTGTCCATTTTTTTATTTATGTTGATATCTTATATTAATTCCTTAATTTCTATTATATGTCCCTCTTATAAACTTTTACTATTTTATTGTTTTCTTCGGCCTGATTAGCCCATGTGCCGTGTTACGAACTCTCTTATATTCATAAGTCCCCTGCGTTCTTTCAGATCTATATTTTATATAAACATTCTTTTTTCCTTCAGATATATTTCTATACTTTGGGTAAACATTATAGTGTACGTTTTCTTTCATTTAAATTTGTGTTTATTTTTATTCCTCCTAGAGGCTTGTTTGCTTTATGTAGTTTTAATTATTTTCCCAACTAACTTAGTTATCTTCATCGCATGTAACGCTTTGTTGTTAAATTATTTGATCTAGCCTACTTTGATATAGTTTTTTGTCAAAATTTGTTTTTATTAATTTTAGTTTCTAGTGTTGGTAGTTTGTGTTTATGATTCTTAATCGAATTAAGATGACTTTTTTCCAAAACTAAATTGTGGCCAGTCCCTACGTTAGCTTAGATCAGGCTCCCTACATCTAATGCTTTCTGGTATTATTAATTTATATTTGTAAGAATATGGTATCTCATTGATTTGTGTCCAGTTGTGTTAAATGTTCTTAAAAAAGTATTACATTGACTTAAATAACCAAAATTATTATATTTCTTTCAATAAATATCAGGTTCAAATTTTTAGAAATCATAACAATATTTTGTCATTTATAAGCTTCTGTTTAAAATATAGGTTACTTAAATATTATACTTTTGCCGTTTTTAAGATCATAAATCTATTTTGAGGTATCCATTACTTAAACAATCACGAAATGAGAAATAACTTTCTTGGCTTAAATAGGAAATAAAGAGGGGAATCCCCGAATTATCGAAATACGCAGTGAGCGAATTGACAACACCGTATGAGTCTATAAGGTCGTGTATATGAGGCCCCAAGACCACAATACGGATAAAAATTATACTGATGAGGCTGTAAAATCGGAAATCGGCACGAGGTGGTAATGATAGGAGAACCGAGGGGGAGAGTATATGTTAAATTTTGTTTTATCCAAATAGAAACTAGGGCATTAAGAATGTTTTGTTACCTGTTTCGATATACACGACGACTAAAATATTATATACACCTGGAAATAGGAGAGGCCGTAAGGTTGCGCTATGGTTTGAGTCCTTAAGGATAGTAGGATGTAAATATATATATATATATATATATATATATATATATATATATTATAGTTTAATATTTTTGTAGTAGGGGCTTTTGACTGTGTACGTGTACATAAGTATCAAAGATATTTGTGTTGCAGTTTCACAGTTTTAGATATTGGTGTGCTTTTTACAGTTAATAATACGGTAAGTAAACCCTCTACGTGATTCTTTTTATAATATGTCTTAAGTCTAGTATTTTATTGGAAAATATAGTCACATGTTTGGTGATTTGTAATATTATTTTTTATTTTTAGGTTATGTGTTCTTATGAGAAAGGAACAAAGCGTATTTTAGCCATATGGGCTTAAATTGAGGGCGACGATGAGGTAGGCGATAGGCGATCCTGAAGACCAAGATGACGTTTTGGAGAACAATGATCACGACTCTCTAAGAAACAGAGCTACCAGATTTTACCGAAACTCAGCAAGACCTAAATACTCGTCTGTGTTTTGTGGGACGGTACAAAACAAATATTCCGTTGTGGAATAAATTTCCCGTAGCTGTTTCAAAAAAAGACTTGGAGCAGAAACATAGTGACCCAATCTTCTGGAGTAATTGGTAAAGCAAAAATCATTATTGATGTTTGGCAATTCTTTTTTTCCAGACTCTATCATCAGTGAAATAGTTGACCACACAAATATATTCTAAAGCGTTGGACTAATTACAGTAGAGAAAGAGCCACCAGTACAAATAAGGAAGAAATTAAAGCACTTATTGGTCTTCTATATTTTGCTGGAGTCTTGCGGTCGTCACACCTACATTTGAGATACCTGTGGGCACAGGACGGAACCGGCGTAGAGATTTTTCGTCTTCCAATGGCAATTAATCGAGTTCAATTTTTATATACTGAACAAACCAGTTACAGGTTTAGTTTTATATACTGAACAAACAGCATGAAATTAAAATATTAGCGCTTGTTGATTCCTTGTCATATTACATATATAATCTAGAGGTGTACAATGGAACTCAACCAGGTGGGCCTTATAAAGTTGACAATAGAGCGCCTCTTCAGTCGTACAAAGATTAATTAAACCAATTTCGGGAACTGGAAGAAATGTAACTTTCGATAATTAGTTTATGTCGATACCTTTAGCCTTAGATTTGCTAAAAAACACAAACTAACTAGTTACGGGCACAGTTCGCAAAAATAAAAAAGAAATTACTGATATTTTTACCGCAAATTTAAAGCAACGTAAAGTTACTTTGAGCATTTTTGGTTTCACCGAAGACATGACTGGTATCCTACAAGCAGCCCAAGCAAAACAAAATATTTTATTGTCAACAATGCATTACAAAGACGAGATTGGTCCAGAAAGTGATAATGCATACAAGCCAACAATGATTACATTTTACAATGCAACAAAGGGGGGTGTTGATACCATTGATAAGCTTAAAGGAACATACTTGTGTATTACGAAAAAGTTGCCGATGGCCTCGATATCTGAAATAACTATCCATACCGTTGCTGACGAAAATGTTAATACTCATAGTACTCGCCAAAATTTTTTGAAATCATTAGCAATGAGTCTCGTTACACCAACTTGAACGTCGTCGAGAAATGGTTATGAAAAGAGCAGAAAAACGAAGACCCTATGCGTACAGTGTCAAAAGTATATAAGCCGAGAACATATTTCCAGCTTTGTACTGAATGCTATAAAAGCCAACAATAAATTAAAAATTTTAACGTAATTTATAATAAAAGATTTTTGGTTTAACTATATTTAAGTTCTACTTGTTTTTCTTTTATTAATTAAAACCAAAACTCTGTATACGGTCAATTTTACCGTGTGCGGCGTGCGTTACAACGTAAGTTTTTTGGTGCGTGTAATACCGGGTTGAATGAAAAGGCACGCATACGGAGTGTAGATGGGACGTGACAGCATAAAGGTCGATTCAGACACATCAGTCACGTCTCGTCACAGTGATTGCGCCGAACCGAACAATCCGTCATACAAAATATTCTTTAATACAAATATGTTGCCGGCATTCACACTCATCAGTTGACAAACAGTTTCCCAGCTGTCAGATAGTTGATAGTTCTGTGACCAAACAGGACCGGTTCGGCGCCGAGACTATGACGGGACTGGTGTGTCTGAATCGAACTTAAGAGAGATCATGTTGTGTATCGGAAAGACAATCGAGCCGGCTTTACCACCAAGACGCGCCAAAATGTTTCACATTACAAAGCTTTGCTTTAATGCCATTCTTTTATTATGTTTGTTGTAGGGAATATGCAAACAGTACAACCAGAGATCGCAAATGGATTCTGTTTGATGGTCCAGTAGATGCAGTATGGATTGAAAATATGAACACAGTTTTGGACGACAACAAAAAACTTTGCTTGATGTCGGGTGAAATAATTCAAGTAAGTTAACTTTCAAAAAAAAAGAACATAAATTGTGTGTCACAATTAACTCTACATAATAAATTTCAAATAGATTATAGTAAAATATAGGATACGTTAGACTTGTTGTAAGATGTCTGCTTTGAAAAGTGCATTTGAAATACACACACACCAGTATTTTAGGTTGTGTAGCCATGATATTCTACGTATTTCTATACTTCTCATTCCTTGGATCTTTCCCTGTATAATCAATTGAAGCAAAGTATATCTCTCTTCACGTATAATGTATCCGAGGTATTCAAATTTTTTCGTTTTGATTGATATCTCACACACATTTACATTATCCTAGTTAAATGATTTATTATATTTAGAAGACGAATCTTTTGTTTATTTTAAGTAGTATTGAGAATTTCTCTGGATAATGTTGAATGATACGAAGCGTTCTGTTTGCTAATTGGAAATATAATGTGCACCAGAATATATAGTTCTAAAAAATATTAAGTTATCGGGATAATACTGTACATCTTTAAACTGTGCTCCATTATGGAAAAAAAATGTTAATAACGATCACACAGATTTTTAAACATAAGAGTTCTGAAAAAAACGAGACGATCTTATGACCTAATTTAGGTACAGTTTTGGATGGATCTGAAATGCTGAAAATTTTCTCTTTCGACGTTTCCCAGATGTAGTTATCAAGCAGTGTCAGATGGCGACAATGTGATGTGTATGGAAAATCAATCCGACGAGAATTTGTCTTGGAAAGGTTTCTTGCATCATAGCCACAAACTGTCCAGGCGTATTGCAGGTCGCTCCATATTGTATGGAACCACTGTCTATTAATCTTTAGACGTTTTTGATACAATATTCGTTGTCCAATCTGTATTTGGGACGCAAAGACTTTAAAGAGGCGTATAAAAAAAAACGGTAAAAATTCTATATCTTTTGATCCAAGTGTTAAATAAATAAAAGTGGCGCGAGTTTTGCCATTTTTAAGATTCTCGTGGGATCAATAAAATTGATCACTTTCATTAAACAGTCGTAGTAAGATTTTAATTTTAAGGGATTAGTCTTTAAAACCTGTAGCATGAAATTTTAATTTTGAGTTTTGCAACAAATATGAGGTATTTAGAATATATATATAAAAAATGCAGAATTTAAATTTTTACGTTTCAAACGATGGCAAGTCAGGGGAACGCCTTCAAGAAGACAGTTTTGGATGTAGTTTATTATAGCAGATGTTTGATTCTTTTGAAAAACGTACTAGTTTTATTTAAAAAAATGTAAACATTTGAGATTGTTTGTTACGTGAAAGTTTAAATCCAGCGCTTTTTATGCATATTTCAAATGCATCACATTTGCTGTTTAATCTCAAAACTAAAATTTCATGCTATAGATTTTGAAGGTTAGGCTCTAGTAATCGAAACTTTATAGTGGCCAGTCAATAAAAGGGATATATTGTATAGATCAAAACACAAAAATTGCATACAAAAGCTAAACTTTTTACCTTTGAAAAGCATTTGGATTTTTGTCGATGCGACACTTGGATCAAAATATATCGAATTTTTACCTTTGAGCTAATACACGTTTTATTGAATATTGATTTCTCGCACGTAACTGACATTAAAAATCGACGGTTACTTCAAGCATTGTTTCTGAGAGAATAGATCATTCTACACAAAAAGTGATAATTTAACATTGTTGTTTAAAATTATCTCAGCTACATTATTTATTTAAAACATTTTTTTTCTACTGTGTACATATTCTTGGTAAATTGATTTTTTTGCGTTTTTACCCCCTACGAGGAGGGTTTTAGGAGAAAGCCTGGGGTAATCAATATTAATATTCTCGGTAAAATTCAGCTTGTTTGTATGATTTTTAGAGGTTGAGTGGCATTATTGTCTCTGACGACTGGAGTATATCTGACAATAAAAAAGCGGTTTAGTGTCTAACTTCAATTTTAAAAATCTATTATCTGAAAGACATTAATATCTTTAAAAAATTGTAAATACATTATAAATAGCTGTCTTAGTTCGATCTATTAAGCTACATGAACGATCTATTAATCTTAATAACCCAAATGGTTGATAATTTTAATTAAAAAAAAATGTACTTTTATTTTTCCAGATGTCACCTCAAATGAATTTAATATTCGAGCCTGCTGATTTGGAGCATGCCTCCCCAGCTACAGTCTCTAGGTGCGGTATGATTTACATGGAACCAGCTCTTTTGGGATGGAAGCCTTTTATGGATTCGTACATGAATACATTAGCAAAGTTACTCTTAATAGAACAGCAAGAACTGTTGGTCGAGTGCATGGAGTGGCTGGTTCCTGCCGTATTTAAACAAGTCCATAGGTCTAAAACATTTGTTGAAACCTCGGATATTCATCTGTATTATGTAACTATTTTTTAACTTAATTAATTACACATTGACAAAACAAAGTTTTTCTTCTTATTTTTTTTTTTGGAATTTTCCCATTATGCGTTATAGAGATCTGTCTCCATAAACGCATTCCCCATATATGATTTCGGTTACACAGCTGGTCTTTATCTCCGTTTTGTTCCTGAAGGTTTCCATTCAATTACTCTTTTTGGCCACATATGGTTTGTCCTTCTTTAAACATGAACGTACCATCGCTTCTTCTTTATATCAATTTATATCAATTTTCTTTAAGTGCCGTCTCCCAATCGGAAGTTGGATATCATCATCACTATTTTTACTTTATCTCCTGCTGCTCTGAAGTGTTCTATAGAAATGCATTTAAACCAGTCCCTTAAATTCTTCAATCATGACACTCTCCTTCTTCCTATATTCCTTCCTCCTCTTATCTTTCCCTGTATTATCAGCCTTAGCAGTTCATATCGCTGTCCCCTCATTACGTGTCCCAGATATTGTAACTTTTTTTATTTTTATTGTGTTTAATATTTCGCATTCTTTGCCCATTTCTCGCAATACTTCCGTGTTAGTTTTCTTCTGTGTCCATATTATTCTAAGCATTCTCCTGTAACACCACATTTCAAAGGACTGTAACTTATTTATGTGTTCCTGCTTCGATGTCCAGCTTTCAAGTCCATATTGCAGTATCGAAAACACGTAGCATCTGAGTGCTCTTACTCTTAGTTCTAATCTAAGATCTTTGTTATAGAGACTTGTTTTCATTTTTACAAACGCATTTCTTGCTATTTCTATCTTAGTTCTTATTTCGATTGTTTGATCATTATTGTCTGAAATTCAGGTACCTAGATATATGTATTTATCAACCCTTACTATCGGTACATTTCCCAAATGTATGTGTGTTGGTATATTTGTTTTTTTTTGTTTTTTTCACAGAAATTGTTTATTTTGTTTAGCAGTAATTGGAGAGCTTGTCATAATCACGGTGTCATCTGCATATCTTATGTTGTTAATAGATCTTCCGTTAATTATTATTCCTATACTTTGAGATAGTAATGCTTCTCCAAAAATGGCTTTAATATATACATTAAATAGTAATGGGAACATAATATATCCCTGCCTAATTCCTCTTCTGATTTCAATTTCTGGACTGGGTTCGTTATCTATTACGATTTGAGCTCTTTGATTCCAGTAGAGGTTTGTTATTATTCGTAAGTCCCTATGGTCTATGTTTTTTGTCTTTAGCATTTGGGCTAATTTTTTATGTCTTACTTTATCAAATGCTTTTTCAAAATCAACGTAACAAACATGCAAATTAACATTCATATCCATGCATCTTTGAGCTAACACATTAAAAGCAAATAACGCTTCTCTGGTTTCTAGTCCGTTTCTGAAACCAAACTGAATATCATCTATTCCTTCTTCCAGTTTTTTATTTATTCGACCATGTATTATTTTCAGGAATAATTTGAGAATGTGACTTATGAGTGATATTATTCTGTATTCACTGCAATATTTAGCTTTTGTATTTTTAGGGATAGCACAAAATGTAGAGTAACCATTGTTTCGGTATATGTCCTGTTTTGTATACTGAGGTAAATAAGTCTACTATAATGTCTGTCTAAGGTTTCATCATTTATGCATTTTAAGATTTCTGTAGGGATTTGGTCTGGACCTATTGCTTTACCATTTTTGCTTCTATCTCCATCTGTTCTATTCTATTGTCTTGAACAGTTTATTGATGTATTCTGTCCATCTCTTTAATTTGTCGTTAGTATTTAACTCAAGATTCTCATTTAAATCTTTTAGTATTTCCGGTTTTTTTGTTCTATTGTTGTGAGTTGATTCTTTAATTTTTTTATGTGTGTTAAAACTATCATGTCTTTTCTGGTATTCTTCTATTTTTTCGTATTGTTCTTTTAACCATTGTTCTTTCGCTTTCTTAATTCTGTATTTTATTTGTTTATCCACTTTTTTGTAACATCTGATTACATTTGTTCTTATATTGACGTAAATTCCATTAAATCTAAAATTTCTTGCGTCATCTGTTTCTTTTTATATCTGGTTGGTATTAGAATTTCTTTTAGATTTTTATCTATTTCTCTCTTTATAACCATCTTTTCTTAGTCTCAGTATTTTGCAGAACTTATTCATTCATTAATCCGTTGTTGATTTCATCTGCCAGGCGTTGCCTTATGAGTGGCTTCCTTAATTTACTTGTATCGATTTTTGCATTTGATGTTTTTCGTTTTATTATTTTCTTTTTAAGCCTAATTTTGGTCACTACTGGGTTGTGATCTGATCCTATGTCGGCACTTGGATATGTTTTTGTGGATATAATTGCGTTCCTGTATCTTTGTCTAACTAATAAATAGTCTATTTGGTTTCTTACAATTCTCTCTTCTTGATCTGCTGGTGACTTCCAGGTACATAGTCTTCTCATTGTCATTTTGAACAATGTATTAGCTATAACAAAATTATTGTTTTGTCAAAATTGGATAAGCCTGTCACCCCTTTCGATTTTGTTGCCCAGACCATATCCTCCTGTACATTCTTCTACTTTTTCTTCCCCAACCTTTGCGTTAAAGTCTCCCATTATAATTGTTACATCTTGCATTTTAATGGATTTTAAAATGTTGTCTAGGCTTCGTAGAAAGTTTCAATATCGCTCTCTGGTTTGTCTGCAGTTGAATCATGAATTTGTAGGATGTTTATTTTGGGTTTGTTCTGGTTTTATTGTAAGACTATAATTGTGTTGGAGTATGGAGTAAAATTTATTACAGCTGCATCAATGTTTTTGTTTAATATTATCCCGACACCATATATGTGTGAACCGTCTTGACTTCCTGAATAATAAATTGTTTTATTGTTGATTTTTATCTTGGATCCTGAGTCGGACCATTGGACACCGCTGATCCTAAAATATCTATATTCAGCCTTTCCATTTATTTAATGGCATTATGTACTTTTCCAGCTTAATGTAGACTTCTAACATTCCAAGTCGCCACTTTGCAAGGTTTTCGCATGTTGACCACCGGGGAGACCTTGCAGTCTTGTGAGTTTCCTCCTCTGCCGGATCTTGTTTTCCGAGTTTCATGATCAGTAGAGTGTTTGGTTGTATTGTTAGTCATGATGATTAACTAGGGATGCTCTATGAGCCTTGCATTGGTTTTCCGTTGTCTTATGCATCTCCACTCAGTTGACCATGTCTGGTACGTCCGCCTTTAGAAATGATTTTCCATTTCTAGGACAAGAAGGTGCCCTTCCACCAGAAGCTGTTGGTCAGTAAGTGGGGGATTGCTTATACTGGCAATCACTCGTACCATTGTAGTGCTCTGTATTTCTTTTTTTTTTGTTATTTAGCGTTCTACTTTCATCCAATTCCATATATCCTCACTGCTTAGTCTGCTCTTTTTGGAAATGTTAAGACATTTCATTAACTCCAATTTGACTGTTTTTATTTTATTTCGTATTGTTGTGATTGGTTATACTTCCACTTCGTATAGAGTAATGTTTTCCATTATATTTCATAGTGTAAAATATTATTTTTTTTTCTTTGGTGAGAGTTTGTTTCATTAAGTACTTTTGTAGCTTGATTAACCCGAGCGATTTTTATTTTTATATCTCGTATATATAACCGATCCTAGACTTAAAAGTCTGGCCACTTTTGATAGTCCCGTGTTATAAGCTTAAGACCTTTCGTTATAGCGATTGATTTTGTTAATTTATTACCTTATTTGTGCATTTGTTACCTTATATAATGTTTGTGTTAGGTTTTTACATTTTTCTCTGATGTTAGTCCCTCTCATTGCTTCCCACAGTTGTTTCCTGGGTACAATGCCATACGATTTTTGCAAATCTATGAAGATCTTGTGTGTTCCAAATGTTTATCTTTTCATTTTTATTGTCGAAGCATGTTTTTTTTTCGTCTTTATAGAGGGGGGTCTGGAATCTTCAAAAGACATCTCAGTCCAGGACGCCGCCTGACTTACCTTAGTGCAGGATTCGTTCTTCGTACTCCCGGCGATAGTTCCCGAGGTACTTTAAAATGCCCTCTCGTCGCCGAGTCTACGCCGAACGCCTACCTGCTAAACCAGACCCTCCTCTGTCATCCAGCGATCCGGAAGCGGAATGGCCGCTGTAAGGCCGGCATCACTTCCGAAGCACTACCTTTATTCATTCATTCTCCATTAATACACATACACACTCCTAGTTCGGCATCATTCCCAGAAGGGCATTTCCTCCTTCCCCACAGTCAAACTCGCGCATTCTAACTCAAAAAGTGTGATTCACTGTTCTAAATTCACCTTTCAGCATTATTCACTCTACCTTTGCCGTTGGTCCAACTGTCTTTCTTCCTCTTCCTTCTTCTTGATCACTGCACGGATATAACTGTGTATGTTAATCCAACCTAATTTATTTTCAATCATTCTCTTAATCATTTCTCTCACTGTAACAAAATTCACACCTCTCTCTCTCTCCATTCTGTTCCTTTCCACTATCCATCTGCTGCAATCTAACATCGTATGTGTCACAGTGTTCGAGTATCCACAATATAGGCATTCATCTGTATCAGCCTTTCCGATCCTATAAAGGTAGGCCCTAAAACACCCGTGTCCTGTGAGCACCTGCGTCAGGAAATAATCCAGTCGCCTGTGGCCACAGTCCACCCAAGCTCTTATAATCGGGATCAGCATTTTCGTCCACTGTCCCACCTCCTCCGTATTGTTCCATTCTTCTTGCCATCTTTCAACTGACCTTTCCCTTACCTGTCTTCTCTCAGCCATAGTAAGGTTTGGGCCTCTTCTCTCATAAACCTCTTTTCTTTCCACCGCCAAAACATGCAACGGAATGCATCCAAATACATCAGAGTACGTCGAAGCATGATCTGGCTTTCAATTTTATAACAAGACTGAAACAAAATAAATGATACCAGGCTTTATACTCCAAATTTTAACAATTTCATTTATATATCACAAAATATTTAATATGGAATAATTTAACAAACTTTTTATCGAATATACATTTTTTTTATTTTTAGTCATTCACTAGGCTCTTTACCTGCTTAATACGGGATGAGAACCAAGTCAGTACCGTATGGCTGCAATGCACATTAATATTTTGCCTCTTATGGGGTCTTGGATCAACATTAACATTGGAAGGAAGGCAGACCTTTGATACATTTTATAGGAAATTATTATACGGCGAAAACAGAAAATATCCTAAACCTAAATCATTTAAACTAACGAAAAGTCAAATATTTCCCGATCGAGCTAACGTATTTGAATGGGTCTACGATAAGAAAAATAACGGTACTTGGATTAATTGGACTGACACAGTTGAAAAAATTGACAAAATCCCTCCAACTGCTAAGGTAATTCGTTCAGCTGTTTTGCACCGAATTTAAATATGTTTATAATGTATTTCAGCGTTTATTAAACTAATACTTATACTCTACAATTCTCAGTTAAACGTACAACTATGAATTATGTTTCTAAAGTAGTATTACAGTCAATTGGTTTATTGTATATTTTCCACTAGGTTAGAGGATTTTAATGTTAACGACCACTTACGTATCCGGAACCGAAGGCTTTACGTGCTCTTCGAAATAGAGTGATGGCTCAGTTAAATCGGGTTATAACGGATAAGCCCCAAAAATCAAAATTCCAGAGATAATGCCATCTAGCATCTTTGGCTGTAATATCATAAAGTAAACATCAAAGGCCACATCTACAGAGCGTGGCAGACTACTTGAGATCACACTATCACCAAACTCAAAGAATGCCCAAGTCAAGTAGGAACCACACTCATCTTACCAAGGTATTATTAATCGACTCCGAATAGGTCATACTCTACTTACGCATAGGCATATCTTCAACAAAGAAGCTGCTACGATGCGTACCAAATGCAACACTCAATTATCAGTAAAATATATAATTATCGAGTGCTCCAGAACGAAAAGATCGCGTGTTCCCTTAACGGCAATTTAAAAAAGTGTTATTTTAAACAACTTTAGTAAACTATCGCAAAATAACTAAACTATATACCAATTTGTAAAGTATTATTATGTAATAATATGTTACCGTCTGTGCATGTCCCTCCGCTATTAACTCTTATTGGCTGATATAGGTATATTTGTGTAAATATTAAAAAAAAATTCCAAATAGATATTTAACTACAACTGTATAATATTATCTGAAATAATTTATTTTTAAACATTAATGTTTGATCTTTCCGGGTTTCTATTTTTTGATACAAAATGTTTTTGTTTTCCTAGGCAAATGAATTGATTATTCAAACAAATGAATCGTGTTGCCAGAGATTCTTTCTGAAGATGTGTCTCGATAACAAAATACCGATTTTATTTATTGGACCAACTGGAACTGGCAAATCAGCAGTGGTAATGGACTATATGTTGAATTTACCGAAGGAGAAATTTTTGCCCAATATTGTTAATTTCAGTGCAAGAACATCATCGACTTTGGTTAGTATTTTATATATTTACAAATATGTGTGAAAATTATGGAATATTAAAGAAATAAAAAGAAAGGAAAACTAAAACTCTTCTTTTTGATTAAAGTCTTTTATATTTACATTTAGACCCAGGAAATGGTAATGTCAAAACTAGACAAAAGAAGACGTGGTGTCTTTGGCCCTTCAATGGGTAAACAATGCATATTATTCGTCGACGACGTAGGTATGCCACAGAAAGAAACGTGGGGTGCTCAACCAGCAGTTGAACTTCTTCGCCAATATATAGATCATGGACATTGGTTCGAAAAAGATACATCAATGCTTTATCTTGTGGACATAGTAAGTATTTACAATTATCAAAAAACTATACTTCTACAAACAATTTTAAACTTTCAAACCTGTTTAAGTTTTTTTACTTTCAACTGTAATAGTGACGCAGAATTTTTAACGAATGTTTGACTGTATTGCAGTTATAAATCATTTACATTTTTAGTAGTTATTTATGTACTCTTTTTAGCTTTTCGTTGGTGCAATGGGAGTTCCAGGAGGTGGTAGAAATGAGGTCACTGATAGATTTTTAAGACACATGCAAATTTTTACCATTGACTCATTTGACGACAATACTTTAAGCAAAATATACACGACCATATTAGATTGGCACTTTGCTAAAGGCTACGTGGAACCAGTAGCAAGGCTTTCAAAGGTAGTTATTAACAAATATGCTCCAATTCAAAACAGCAGCGTTTAAATACATTGATGGGGTTGTTATCTGTTGAATAGATAAAAACGGCTTCAAAGACCATCAATTTATTTTTTCTGGTTCTAAATATTCCAGCATATTTAACACAAGTTGTTGTGCTTGAGAACTAAATGGCTTATCCAGCATATTCTAAAAATAAATATCCTTAAAAAATATTTCATATTTCATATTTCATATTTTATTCACGTGGTTTAAGTCACATTTAAATATCTGAAAATCAATTTAGAGGTTAGAATAAATATTACATTATTGTCATTAGCTAATCAATAAATTCTTACCCTTATAAATCAAACATGAAAGTAACAGTTAATCATTATAACAACTGTTTGTTAAAAAATATGTATAGTTTAAAAACGAAAAAGTATTGAATATTTAAATGACAAAAAAAAATAATCCAAATAGGCTACAAAAAACGCTGTCAAAACAAAACTTCTAATTGCTAGTAGGTGAATCAATTACGGACCATCGTCCTAGATCTGTCTTTGTTCGATATATGCTACTGTATATGTATATGCCGCTTAAGTTGATTAATTTAGTCCACTGGATGCCCCAGATCCAGCGGACGAACTGTATGTCTTTCTCTATATGCATCATTCATTCTCGCTATGTATCCGATCTGGTTCCAGTTCCACTTCATTTATGCTATCCTTTCGACATGACACATTCTTGTTAGGGCTATTGTAATAACGTTTAAAACTATATCTCTTACTATTTATTCCCATATCGACCGATCAGTGGATAAATGAGTCATATACTGGGATTTTAAAAGGCCAATTTCGTAGTTTTATTAGAAGGACTTAAGCTTCTTAAAAAAAATAATGAAATCCACATCTCCTCAACAATATGTGAACTTTTTATCATCAATGTTGATTTATATGCTCTCTAACTCAAGTTTTGTAGTTTACTGCACAATTTGATAATGTAACTAACAATTATTTTATCTCGGTCCTTTGAGTCAAAAGTTTTCTTTATAATCTACAAATAATGCGCCAGTGGTTTTTTGTATTCAACAGTTTTTTTCTATAATCGTTTATTAAAGATAATTAGTAAATAATCGTTTGTTATTTAATTAATATTTATAACTGGGAATAAGCCACAATTAAAGATAAAAATACGTTTATTGACGTTTCAATTTCCAATTCGGAAATCGTTCTCAAAATACAAACAGTAAATTAAAAAATTTTGTTTTTTGTTACATAGTGAAAAAATTCTTCTAATAATTTAGTTTTATCTGACTCATTTATATTGACAATTCAGATATACATTATGCATTTTAAAGTAGACGACTTTAAAATGATATTGCCAATATTGTTGAGTTGCGCTCCTGGGACGACTTTACTTATAAGATAGTTCATTCGATTACATGAAATCAACTTTAACTTGAGAATATCCGTCAGAAAAAATCATAGCATGTAATTCGTCTTTAAAAAGACAAACACATGACATGATGGCAGTAAAATTCTCCTGTTAGTGATTCCATAGTAAATTATGAGGGAAAACCAGGAAAAAAAACCTCATAATACTATCCCGACATTGTAAGTATTTGTTCGTGAATTTAGTTTACCTTCAACAAACATCAAAATTCTGATTTTAAATGTTACGTTATTTAAAAAACATAAATGATGTATCCTCTATAAGTTACTGGCTTACTAATACTGGTATTTTCTTATTAATAACTTCCTCTTTCAATATTGGTAACCAGATCCTACTACATTCTGCCGAGGAATTTGCGACACAATTGGCCTCGTTTAGCATAATTAGAGCCGTTTCTTTAATTTTTCTTTTTTTACCATCCGTTTCTTTTAGGACTATATTTGAATTATTCCATTGAACCCTATGTTCATTATCCCATGCGTGTTTACATATTTGAGATCTATCAAATTCTCTATTTTTAATATAAGATTGATGTTCACTTATTCTAACATTTAATGGCCTTGATGATTCACCTAAATAAAACTGATCGCATTCACAAGGTATTTTATAAATGCAATTCTTTGTATTTTCTTGTTCATTGTTAGGTTTGGTTTAAAACTAAAATTTTTGTATTTAAAACCAAACCTAACAATGAACAAGAAAGGACAAAGAATTGCATTTATAAAATACCTTAGGTGAATCATCAAGGCCATTAAATGTTAGAATAAGTGAACATCAATCTTATTTTAAAAATAGAGAATTTGATAGATCTCAAATATGTAAACACGCATGGGATAATGAACATAGGGTTCAATGGAATAATTCAAATATAGTCCTAAAAGAAACGGATGGTAAAAAAAGAAAAATTAAAGAAGCGGCTCTATTTATGCTAAACGAGGCCAATTGTGTCGCAAATTCCTTGGCAGAATGTAGTAGGATCTGGTTACCAATATTGAAAGAGGAAGTTATTAATAAGAAAATACCAGATTAGTAAGTCAGTAACTTATAGAGGATACATCATTTATGTTTTTTAAATAACGTAACATTTAAAATCAGAATTTTGATATTTGTTGAAGGTAAACTAAATTCACGAACAAATACTTACAATGTCGGGATAGTATTATGAGGTTTTTTTCCTGCTTTTTCCCTCATAATTTACTATGGAATCACTAACAGGAGAATTTTACTGTCATCATGTCATGTGTTTGTCTTTTTAAAGACGAATTACATGCTATGATTTTTTCTGACGGATATGCTCAAGTTAAAGTTGATTTCATGTAATCGAATGAACTATTTTATAAGTAAAGTCCTCCCAGGAGAGCAACTCAACAATATTGGCAATATCATTTTAAAGTCGTCTACTTTAAAATGCATAATGTATATCTGGATTGTCAATATAAATGGATCAGATAAAACTAAATTATTAGAAGAATTTTTTCACTATGTAACAAAAAACAAAATTTGTTTAATTTACTGTTTGTATTTTGAGAACGATTTCCGAATTGGAAATTGAAACGTCAATAAACGTATTTTTATCTTTAATTGTGGCTTATTCCCAGTTATAAATAGTAATTAATTTACAATGCCACAAGAAAATAGCTTCAGAACAATATTAAGAAATCGTTTGTTATAATCCGAAACATATTCGATATAAAGCCTAATGCCATTTAGATGATTTAGATTTCTGGGATGTGAGCGGACATCGGTAGGCCATCTCACACCCCAGAAATCTAACTTATTTAATCTTAATGCACATTTATGTTGATATTTCTTTGCTAATTTGTCCTTATTTTGTGAGTGAGTTTCTTTCTTGATTCTTCTTTGTTTAAAGTATATGTTTGGTTTATTGCAGGTGTTTCTATGACATCCTTTAAAACATTTTATTATTTGGCTAATGGTTAATGGTGACCGCCAAGGTCGGATAATTCTGATATGGCACGCGAAGAAGAAGAGATTTTTTGGTTATTAATTCCTTCAGGTTTATGTTCCACATAAATATTCTATGGATATGTCCATTTCTTTAGTTTGTTTTTTGTTGCAAGTTTATCTCTTTCACTCTTGACATGATTTTTTCGGCCTAAATCTCAATTGTCAAGAACTACAAAAAACTTGTTCAATTTGTTAGCTTTTTGGAAAAGTCTACGTAATACTTCCTTATTTATGTTTCTGTCCTTTCAGAATAATCTGAGCATCCGGCTTAGACACCACATTTCAAAAGCTTTAAGATTGTTAACGGATCTAGCTTTTAAACATTTTAAAAACCCCTTAAAATTACGTTTATAGAATTACATGCATTTATGTAACCTAATTAACAATAGTTCAATAATATGGAAAACACAAAAATTTTCTTACATGCTTAGGAAGTTAAATTATTTATTATACCTACATATATTAATTATTATTTTAGTTTTGTTGTGCGGCTACATCGGAAGTATATAAAGAAGCGATACAGCAGTTTTTGCCAACACCTGCAAAATCACACTACACTTTTTCACTGCGAGACTTCTCCAGAGTTATTCTTGGCCTTCTCCTAACACCTCCCCAACGGATGGATGATCCTGACAAATTTATCAGGCTCTGGATTCATGAAACGTATAGAGTATATCATGATCGACTCATTGATGATGATGATAGGTGTGTTTTAATAATAATTATCTAAATTTTAACGTCGGTATTTAAATTTGTTAAATATTACAAATATAAGTTACAAAACGTCTCATATTAAAAAATATCTCTAATAAACATTATTTTTAGGAAAAAACTTTTTAATATTGTCAAAGAGGCATGCTATCAAGGATTTAGACAGAAATTCGACAAAGTGTGCGCGGTGTTTGTTCCCGAAGATGAAATAATAGCACCCCGCCATCTCAGAAACTTGTTTTATGGAAATTACATAAATCCAGACGCAGATCCTAAAATTTATGATGAGGTACGTTGTGTTTTAAAATATAAATAATCAAATGCAATTTATCAATTAAACGTGTAAGGCAGTATTGCTTCTGACATATTACAAAGCACAAACTTTTTGTTGAATCAAAATAGTATATTACATAACGAGAGTTGTAAGAATTATTACATGCGAGTAAAAAAGTTGTTCGCGAGCCGCGTAGCGGCGAGCGCAGTAATTTTACAAGCATGTAATAAGCTTACAACTCAAGTTGTGTACTATACTTTTTCTACCATTATTTTCGTTTATAAAAATAAAAATTAAATTACCAGTATATTTACACTGACAGATTAATAATTTTTAATCTGTCAAAATAACGTCTGTTAATTCGTTTCCATGGTAACTCGACCAACTGACTTACAAGGCTTATGTGATATTACACATTTTTATAAAACTGAAGCGTATTTTTTTTTATTACGTGCTAGTCATTACGTGTCAGTATCTGTTATGATGCATTTACTTAGCATCCAAATAGTAGGTAATATACAATTTACTAGTAAGCGAGTAGAAAAAATTTATTTATGTTTAACGTGAAAGAGTTGTTAAGAAACTCTACAATTTTCTTACCAATTTATCTACTAGAGAAGCTACCAAATCTTCTACATAAAAAACAACTAAAAAACTAAATCGACAAAAACTATTAAACTAGCACTAGGCAATAAGGACAAATCTAAAATATTTGCCCAACATCTATTAGTCTTCAGCCTACTCAATTCCGACATTGAAGCTAGTCAAACAGTTTCAGGAATCATCTACTCAGCTAAGCCTATATGTACAAGATTTGCATTATCGTGCATTAACAAAACATTTTGGTCAATGTAATGAGGTCAAACAGTTTCAGGAATCATCTAGTCAGCTAAGCTTACATGTCCAAGATTTTTGTACGTAAAGTAGGCGAAATAATACAAGCTAATCTAAATACCTATAAATTTCCAAGTTTTAACCTAACTAATGGTAAAAACCTTCCAGGAAAAGCGACAAATTGCTAACCTTGATAAATCATCGCTATTTTAATACTGAGTACTTTCCTATTTTTCTTCTTATGGTAACCTATTCAATTAATGAATGTTTTAAATTACTTTGGCAAAGTTTTCTCTATTCTCTACTGTTCTTAGATTTTGAATAATTTAAATCCATCCAATGTCGTAATTTCGGATCTAAAAGAGGGCTTTGAATAAAAAGATGAATTAAACCCTGAATGAAAAGATTTACAGGCATTCAGCAGTCCTCGTAATAGAGAAATTCTGATTAGACCATATCTGCGGTGAATACAGAGCACTATTGATTATGTAATTTCCAGTAAATAATCTGCACGTAGATATCAAGTGATGCATTTTAGGTTTATATATCATGAAATCATAAACAACGCATTCTTTAACATCCACTGAATTTAAATAAGTTAAACCAAACGTATGCCTTAACCATTTATCAATTTCTGATTTTGTCACCTTAATTCTTGTACCAAACACAAATATTGATTTTTTTAAACCAGTTTTGATGTGAGACCGACATCCGCCAATTTTTACATTGGGCCACATATCCCATAAAGCACAATGAATTTCTTTTTCAAAGTCCACAAATATTTTAGTTGGGTCTAATGATAAATGAAATAAAAAGAGGTTAGTCTTTGTAAATGGGTATATTTATTTAAAAAACCCTTAAAAGGGCTACATCAATAAAACAAACGTTTTCGGACCACACAGTCCATCATCAGGATTTAAAATCGAAAAATGCTAGGTCACAATGCCTGAGCCACCAAAATACTAGGGTAAAAACCCTTTAAATTACATTTAGTTATAAAAGATTGTACATTGTGTTGTAAAATAACTGTGATGTTCAGTATTAAATTAGATTTGACTAGAGGTAACACATGGCTGAATCGAGTTCCAGAGCCGGTGAGAGAGAACCTCTACACGCGGAGAACAGCTGGGAACTGCCATTTCCCAGCTGTTCTCCGCGTGTAGAGGTTCTCTCTCACCGGCTCTGGAACTCGATTCAGCCATGTGTTACCTCTAGTCAAATTTAATTTAATACTGAACATCACAGTTATTTTACAACACAATGTACAATCTTTTATAACTAAATGTAATTTAAAGGGTTTTTACCCTAGTATTTTGGTGGCTCAGGCATTGTGACCTAGCATTTTTCGATTTTAAAACCTGATGATGGACTGTGTGGTCCGAAAACGTTTGTTTTATTGATGTAGCCCTTTTAAGGGTTTTTTTAAATAAATATACCCATTTACAAAGACTAACCCCTTTTTGTGATACGTGGTATACAGCCAGCTACAGGAATTTTTTCCTTGTGGATAATTGAAATGTTTTAAATATCTTAAACTTTAGAAAAGAAAATACAAAAATTTTGTCATTGTCATTGAAAGTTTGTCCTTTAACAAACAGTATGCTAAAACGGCTAATGGATTAAGTCCACAGTCAAAAGAAACCAACAACAACAGTATGCTAAAATAACGTAATGTCCATTTTTCAAGCCATGAATAGTAAATAATTTGAGAAAAAAGTTGGTACTGTATGAAATTGTACCATCTATATACAAAGTTTTTAATTTGCACAACAAACGAATATATCTTTCGTATAAAAATATAATTGTTCAAATTCGGGATGATTTAAAAACAAACATCTTTCATTGCGACAGGTTTTAGAAGAATAATAATTAACATCTTCGTTATTGATTTCTGATAAGCTTCTTGGTAACAGTACAGACCTGGTAACAGTTTACGACGACAGTTGTAAATGTTCTTTCTTATGCTAGATTTTTCCGCAAAGGATATAGTACATCAGACCATCTGCTGACAATGAGAACATTGATAGAGAAGGCAAATGAATACCAACTATACGTATTTCTTGCCTTCGTCGACAATGAAAAGGCTTTTGATAATATCGAGATGTGGGCCATAGAACAAGCTATTAATAATTGTAGAATAGATTCGAGATATAGGCAACTAATACATAATCTATATGAAAATGCAACTATGATAGTACAACTAGACGAAAATACAAATCCCACCCCTATTAAGAGAGGAGTTAGACAAGGAGACGTAATATCGCCAAAGCTTTTTAACCTAGCCCTAGAAGACGTCTTCAAAACTACAAATTGGTGAACCTATGGCATTAAAGTTAATGGCAACAAGTTAAACCACCTTAGATTCGCTGACGACATAGTGATTATAGCGAGCACATTCGAGTAATTGCAAATTATGTTTTTTTTATGTTATGTTTATGGGGGAACTAGCAGCCAGCTCCCAATACGTCGGCTTAAAAATGAATATGAAAAAAAAAAAACAAAAATAATGACAAACACAGATGACCCCAGACAGACATATAACTATAAACGGCAGTGAGATAGAACAAATCCAGGAATATATCTACCTAGGCCAAATCATGAGACTTGACAAAGAGAACCAAAGTGCAGAAATTACCAAAAGAGCAAGACTAGCATGGGCAGGATTTGAAAGACTTAGTTGGATACTTAAGAACCGCAAAATACCCCAATACTTGAGGAACAAAGTGTTCAACCAATACATCCTTCCTATTATGACATAGGATGGTTAGGGTTTCTTGGTTAGGGTCCAAACCTGGACCCTAACCAAGAAAAACATGAATAAACTAGCCACAACAGAAAGAACAATGGAAAGAGCAATGTTAGGCATGCGACTGTCAGATAAAAAGAGGAACGACTGGATAAGATCCAAAACAAAAGTCGAGGACATAACAACAAAAATTGCCAAGATTTTTTCTGTAAAAGATAAAAATAAAAAACCAAAAACTTATTTTTTTTTAATTTTCCACAAAAATGTTGAGGTTATGTGAAAAAACTCATATTTATGAGTGAAAAAAGTGTAAATAAAAAAGTTGTAGATCTTTTTGTTACCTACAACTTTGCCATTTAACTTTTTTCCATAGCACTTGTAGTTTTGCCGAAAATCGCGATAAACCTATTTTTACCCTTAAAAACTCACCCCCTTCCACTTCCCGACCTCGGATGCAATGAAATTTATTTTTTCTTCTATTTTAAGCATATTTTCTTCCTTTTCCAATAAGTTTCATTCTACTATAATTTTTTTTGGTTTCAAAAATTATCGACCCTGGTCTAATAAGCTGGTCTCCCCAAATAAAATGTGATTCGTGTTACATGTGTATATTGTTCATTTAGCATCCTAAAAACACGAACTCATCTATCACTTGTATGCAAGCAAAAGCATAATTCATCGGTCCAAAGAACTCGTTCCTAATCGGATTTTTCCCAGTTTACATACTCCCTAGCAATATTTAAAGGTGTTCTACGATGATCCTTGCTTAACGCTGGACCTTCTAACATATGTACAGCAATGTGAAGATGCAAAAAAGATATTGTTGAACTTTTTCAGCCTTAATTTGATACTACTTGTATTTTAAAGCTGCGATTTCAACTGTAGAGTTGATACAAATTGTTGTTTCAGAGCGACAAGCCTGAATAAACGATCTTCTTCGTATAATACAACGACTAAAGCACATTCCTTAAATATTAGATTTCTAAATTCTCATTGCATCTTAATATCTTTAACAAAAGTATTACTTTAAATTGTCTTAAAAGTCGATTTACCATTAAAGCAATTAACAAAATTTTTATTAATTATGATAAAAATTGAACAAAAAAAATTATCAGCACCGCCGTTTAAAACGTCTTGTTCAGAATAGATACTAGTGTCCCTTGTATGTCTCAAATCAAACACAACACGATCTAAACGTACTATATGTATCAGAATGTTAGAAAATATCTAGTACGAAGTATTCAACTAACTGGTAGAAAGAAGACTTAAAAACTACACCATAAAACTTAAGAGCTTTACAATAAACTAATAATGAATGGTATCAGAGTGAAAACTTTCATCTTAAATCATATTTTGTAATTATTATTCTGCATATTTATTTAGTAGATTGTAAATTTCAATAAACAAATAATATATAAGTTATAATTAATACTTTTGTTGTGTTTTATAGATTTTAGATATGGACGATTTAATAGCTAAAATGGAATATTATCTCGAGGAACACAATACGATGTCCAAAACTCCAATGAATTTGGTTATGTTCCAATTTGCCATAGAACATGTGTCGAGAGTCTCGCGTGTTATTACTCAGCCCAATGGAAATGCATTGTTAGTCGGTGTAGGAGGATCTGGAAGACACAGTTCAGCGAAGTTAGCAAGTTTTATGGCGGAATGTGCTATATTTGAGGTAATATGCTGTTACCAATTAAATAGTGACTTTTGTATAATACTTTTGAAAGCAGTTAGTCTTGTTAATAACTCAAATTCTGTTCCCATTCAAATCCCATACTATAAGTTCTTTAAAATGTAAAACGAAAAAATCATACTTCTAGTCATCTGGTAGGGTGCTGCTGTGGAAAGTTTTGTTTTATTCTATCTATAAACATCATATCTATCATGGACCACGAATCTATAGTCTATGGGTTAACTCGTTAACTATGCCCTTTTATGACTTAAAAATAATCAGATACCTGTAATATTTTTTTCGTAAATTTCGTTTTCTTTACTATCAAAGTTTCGTTTCGTCATCATAAAAGAAATTTTCCATACTCTTTGGTGATTGACGCGATGGAAAATTTTATTACCAAAGCCTTACTTGTTATTTTATCCTCTTCAACAGACTTACCAAAAATTGTTTTAAAATTGTTTCAAATTTTATACACATTTTTAAAGATTTTTTTTACTCTTTTGTAACATGAATTCGTTGTTCTTTTTTTTGCTACTTACTTTTAGTGCCACATAATAAACGTTGTGAGTACTTAAGGAATGTATCTTTAACTTTTATTTAAATGTTTTCACGATTGGAACGTTTATGGGCACGGAAACCATTATTTATCTAAATTTTAAATTCTAGATTGAAATAACCAGAACTTACAGCACTTCAGAATGGAGAGAAGACCTGAAGAAATTATTAACTAGAGCAGGTACAGAAGGAAAGCCTATTCTGTTTCTTTTCGCCGATACCCAAATAGCGGACGAAGGTTTTATTGAAGACATTAATACAATTCTCAATACCGGTGATGTTCCAAATTTGTATGCGCCGGACGAAAAAGCTGAGATTTTAGAAAAAATGCAGGCAGTGCTTAAAGAAAGCGTGAGTTTGTTATGTTTTTGTCCACTATTTTAAAATGCCTTTTTTTAGTTGTATTCATCAATAAAAGTACTAATGTGCTTGGAATGGTCATTAGCTACAAGTTTGTAGCAAGAGTCTACAAGCAAGTGTAATTTTACAAAATTATGCAGTAGTTTTTTTCTGTGACATTATTTTTTTTCTTGTAATGGCGCTACAACCCTTTGTGAGTCTTGGTCTGCTTAACAATTTTCTTCCATTCTGCCCTGTCGGATACTTTCTTTCGCCACTGCCTGATGTGATGGTTTTAAGATCCCTGTCTACGTCGTCTGTCCATCTTTTACGGGGCCTTTCTCTTGTTGTGTTTCCCTGGGGCTTCCATCTCTGGACTACTTTTACAGTTCGATTATCTGGCATTCTTTCTAGGTGACCAAGCCAGTCTGACTTTACAAATTTAACAATATCTGCGCTCTGCATTAGTTCATCCAGCTCGTGCAGCATCCATATGTGACCACTGGTCTAATTACTGTTTTGTAGATTCTAAGCTTAGACTCACGATTCTTGACTGATGCTGTTGTTTTCATTTATTATTGATCTTAGGTAGGGAAAAGTGGAATCATATTTGTAGGTATGGTTGTCTACCTTTAGATTCTCATGTTGATTCGATTTTGTGCACTCCACATATTGTCTTTTGCTTTCATTTATATATAGACCAAACGTAGCAACTTCTTGTTTCAGTTCTATAACTTTTTCGCTTAATACCTTCGCTTAATACCTTTTGCTGCTGCTTATTATGGCAACATCATCCGCATATGCGCATATTTTCATTGATCTTGTATTATTACAGCCGTTTATTTTCAGTTTTCTAAAAACATCTTCTGAAGTTAGAGTAAAAAGTGTTGTTGACAAGACATCACCTTGTCTAACTCCAATTTCAATATCAAAGGCCTGCGTCATATCTCCATCTATTCTCACCGTAGCTTTGGATCCTCCAGAGTCATTCGTATAAGTTTTACCAACTTATTGGGTATCCCTAACATAGATAGTTGCTTTAACATCTTTTGTCGATCTACTCCATCAAATGCTTGTTTGAAATCGATATACATTTCTGTGACGTAACAGTAGCTTTTCTTCTTCTTGTGCCGTCTTCTAACGAAGGTTGGCGATCACTTCTTTAAACGCTTCACGATCTTTCGCAACGTGAAATATCTGTTCAACACTGAGGTTAGTCCAATCTCTGATATTCCTCAGCCCAGATTTCTTCTTTCTTCCCAAGCCTTTTCTTCCCTCTAGTCTACCTTGCATGATGACTTGTAGCAGAGAGTATTTATGGTTTCGGAGTATGTGGCCCAGATACGATGTTTTTCTTATTTTAATTGTGTTCATAAGCTTTCTGCCATGTCCAACTCGTCTTAACACTTTCTCATTTGAGACTTTTGCAGCCCAAGGAATCCTTAAAATACGCCTATATAGCCACATTTCGAATGCCTCCAATTTTTTTTAAAGAATGGGCTTTCAGAGTCCAAGCTTCTATCCCACATAGTAGTTGCGACCAAACATAACATTCGACGAACCTCAATCTGATAACCATACTCAATTTCTTATTTGTAAACATTGACTTGTATTTTCGCCTATTCGAGCTATTTCTATTCTGACCTTTATCTCCTGCTCTTGATCTAACTGTGAGTTTATAATTGCTCCGAGGTATTTATATTTGTCGACTCTCTCTAGACGTCTCTAAATCGTCTATATTCTCTGCCATGATTGCGGTATCGTCTGCAAATCTTATGTTATTAATGATGCTCCCTCCAATCCTTACACCTTCAGTTCTTTCCCATAGTGCCTCCTGAAATATTAGTTACACATTAAAGTACACAGTACACATTAAATAATTGTGTACACATTAAATAATTGTGGCGACAGCACACATCCCTGTCTGACTCCTCTTTGAATTTCCACCTGGTTTCTCACTATCTTCCACTTTTATTTTTAGCAGCTTTTAACAATATTAAAAAGAATAACAGATGAACATTCATTCACCATATCGTTTTAAGTACGTTTTATTCTCCCCATTGTCTCTACAATGCAGAACAACTACAGAACAACTGCAGAATATCTGCGAATGCAATACCCTATATATAATCCAAAAGATTTGTAAGTTTAAAGTAAACGAAATGCTGTTTTGCTACATTTTCAAGTTTGTTTTTTCTGACCATCTTAACGGTACACTTTTCTATTAAAAATAAAATGACTTCAGTGCAGAAAAAAATTCTTGCCTAGAAAGAGAAAATACGTTTGAAAACGGTTTTTAAATTTAATGTGGAATAGGACTAGATACGTAGCAAGAATGGTTGATAATATAGTGTGAAGATCCAGAGATTGCTTTAAACACGGGAGACGTTCTCCAACAAGATGGGATCCGGAACTAGGAGATTTGTCAGAGGGAAAAAAATTATTTTTCTACCCCATTTCCTGGTCAATTTCATTTTTAGATCTATTATTTGCATTTCTTTAATTCGAAGTCCATTCTAAACTCCAGACTTGCTGTTAATATGTCCAAAGCTATAAACCTGTTACTAAGTTCCTTAATCATCCGATCAATAACACCTAACATGGCTTCCAGTCCTTCAGGAAATTTTTTCTTTGTCCTTTTTTTGAGAATTCAGATGGTATATCATTCATCATCATCATCAATCAGCCAATCGCGTCCACTGCTGGACATAGGCCTCCCTCAGTTCTTTCCAGTGTTCTCTACACTGGGCCGCTTGTAGCCAGTTTCCCGCTACACGTTTAATGTCATCGTCCATCTAGTCGGTGGTCGTCCTCGGCTTCTTTTATAATTTCTGGGCCTCCATTCCATAATACGTCTTGCCCACCGTCCATTTTGTGTTCTGGCTAAGTGCCCTGCCCAGTTCCACTTAAGCGTCGTGGTTCTTTCGATGACGTCTTGAACTCCTGATCTTCGCCTAATTTGTTGGTTTGTTATGTGGTCTCGAAGGCTCACGTTCAGCATTGCACGTTCCATGGCTCGTTGTGTAACTTTAAGTTTATTCGCAGATTTTTGCGTGAGTGTTAATGTCTCTGCTCCATAAGTTTGTACAGGTAATACACATTGGTTATAAACCTTTCGCTTGAGACACATGGAATTGAACTTTTTAGAATATGGCTTAATTTGCCAAATGCTGCCCATGTTAGACCTATTCGCCTCTGTATTTCATGTGTTTGATTGTCTCTGCTTATTTTGATTTCGTGTCCCAGATATTTGTAAGTGTCTGTTTGTTGTATGGTATTATTGTCAATAGTTATATTTCCACTCATTACGAGATTTGTTAAAATTTTAGTTTTCTCAAAGTTTATCTTTAATCCTGCTCTTTTAGACAGACTTTTCAGCGAATGCATCATAGAAACCGTATCTTGTAAGTTATCTGCGATTAATACAACATCATCTGCAAACCTTAGGTGATTTAATCTTTCTCCATCTATATTGATGCCCATATCTTGCCATTGAGTACCCTTAAATATTGACTCTAGAGCTGCCGTTGCAGTCATTGCATTCATGCTTGCTAATAATTTACCCTCAGTTTCAAGCCTCCGATTTCGGTGCCCAGCTTATCAGCAGTAGGCATAACAGTATAACATTGTACTTCAGGCCTATACTTTACGTTGTGTTTCATAATGACGATCATAATTTGGTACCTAGTGTCAGTGTAATAAAGTTGATAAATTGGGCAACAAAGTCAAATAAAGTTATAATAAAGTAATAATAAAGTAAACATTTTAATAATTTATTATTTTTTTTATAAACGTTTCAAATTTTGCCGTCACTTAAAATTTTTTCTAGTTCTGTGCTAGAGATGGACAGACGATTTGCAGCGCATACATGGAAACGATTTACAAATATAATATAGAGAGGCTGACGTCTACGTAATTTATAAACTAATGTATACGTCTATTAAAAATTTCCACAGATTACTATCATTCTCTAATTGTGTTTTAAATATATATTTCTTGTAATATTTTCAGACCAAAAAAATGGAAGCCACCCCATTAGCTTTATATAACTTCTTTATTGAACGAGTAAGAAGAAATCTTCATATAGCACTTTGCTTATCACCGATTGGAGATTCATTTAGAGTTAGATGTAGAATGTTTCCATCTCTTATTAATTGTTGCACTATCGACTGGTTTCAGAAGTGGCCTGACGATGCATTGGAAAGGGTAACCTATCAATTCTAATACTGATAAAATTAACGTGATTGAGAATTATGATATTTTCTAGGTAGCTCATATGTTTTTAAGTCAAACGGATATTGGTCCAGAAATGATTGACGTTTGTGTATCGATTTGCAAACATTTCCACGTGACCGTTCAGGACTACTCGGATTTATTTTACACTGAACAAAGAAGAAAGACGTATATTACTGCCACGGCTTATCTTGAGTTAATTCAAACATTTATATCTCTCTATGCTTTAAAAGTAGATCAGATTACTTTACAACAAAGACGGTAAATATATAATTTTAGTTCTAAATCAGTTAAATTTTTTATACCCCTTTTTTCCATTATACGTATTTCCTTGATCTTTTCCCTCTTAAATGTTTCTTCTATTTAGCATATTTTGTTTCCATCGCATTGTTTTTTCCTGTTAATACATATGGCCCAGTCGTCAGAGATTTGACCTCTACAAATCATACGAACAAGCTAAATTTTGCCGAGGATGCCAATTTTGGGACCCTAAAAAGTTAATAAAAAGTTCTTACATTTATTTCACATTTACCACATTTACCCCAAAGCTTCTCGTTAAAACCCCGATATTAGGGGAAACCCGGAAAAAACGATTTACTAAGAACGTGTACACCATAGAAACAAATGTTTCAAATAAAAAATGTAGCTAAGATAATTTTGAATACATATGTTTATTAACACTCTTTTTGTAGAGTAAGTCGTTCTCTCAGAAGCAACGCTTGAAGCGACCGGTGATTTTCAATGTAAGGTACGCGCGCGAAATCAATTTCAAATAAAATTTGTATTAACTTGATGTTGAAAATTCAATATCTTTTGAAAAGATTCTCCTATCAACAAAAATCAAATTCTGATTTAAAGGTAAAAAGTGCAGCTTTCCTATAAAATTTTTGTTTAATGCCTCAAATGAAGTCAGTTTGTATAAAGGTAACAATAAAATACTAAAAACTTTGTTTTCAAACTTCCAAAAAATTTATTTTAAATTCTTATCGCTACAGGTGCTTCCCTTTCTCAAGTGATCTATTTTTGGCATGCATTTACACTTTATCGTCTTTAATAAAATAGGTTGAGGATGTTTGTCTTAAGTTGATCATTCAGAATTATATCTGTGTTTTTTAATTTGTTGATTTCCATAGATTCTAACAAAGATAGCTTAAGGACTTTATTTTGAATGTGAATAATTTTAAATTCGTCATTAAAAGAATGATTATGATCTAGAAGGTGAAGTGCGTATGTAGAATCTGTTTTTCTATAACTGAAAGCCCTTTTATGTTCTGTTATTCGTTTATTAAAATTTCTACCCGTTTGACAGATGTAAGCTTTTGGGCAGTTGCCACATTTAAGTTTGTACACACCACTGTGTAAGTGTTTTTTATTTTGGCTTTTATTGTTTTCAATACATTTGCTTAAGTTGTTATTTGTTCTGAAACCTGGTGTTATTCCTTTATTTTTTATGTTTTTAAGCTATTTTTGATGATATTTTGCCTGTATATGTAATCGAGCAGAAGGTATTGAATTTTTTCTCGGGTGGTGGAAATACTAATTTCAGGGCTTTCTTGTGTAGTTTTTGATTTAACATTTTATTAATTGTTTGTTCATTTTATTCATTGTTTACTGCTATTTGCAGTATCAATATCATTAATATTTAATTCTGTCTCAAAGTTGTATTTTGACATCGGAATTTCTGTTAATCTATGTAACATACTATGATAGGCTACCAGTTTATGTTGTGTTGGATGGGATGATGAAATGTGTATAGTCGTGTCAGTATGGGTAGGTTTATGAAATATGGAGAAGTCATGTTTGTTTTTAAGTCTGATAATTTTTTTAATCTAAAAAATTTATCTATTGATTTTGTTCTGTTTCTATTGTAAATTCAATATGACTATGAAGTAAATTAATATACGATAAAAATTGGTCGAGTTGCCTGTTAGTTCCTGTGAAACATACCAGTACGTCGCCTACGTATCTTCACCAATATAAAAAACTGTTTGAATATGGGATGTTTTGAAATCTTGGTCTCTAGACGATCCATAAAAATATCTGATAGCAATGGGCTTAGAGGATTGCCCATTATTAAATTCAAAGTAATCCTGATTTATGCAAACTTCAAGAAGATGTAAAATTTCAGATGTAATGATTGGATTTGTACTATTTTGGTCTAACAGGTTTTTTACTAGAATAAACGTTTCTGTAGGAGATATACTAGGAAAAAGATTCTTAACGTCAAATGAAATTAATCTGAAGTTGTTAGGTAATTGAAAATGTTGTATTTCTTTAACTAGTTCTATTGTATTTTTTATGGTAAATTTAGGTGAATTGGATGTAATTTAGGTGAAAATTTGGTGTGTTCAAAAATAATCTCTAACAGTTTTTTTGAAAGTTTATATGAGGGTGCTGTATAAAAAGAAACTACAGGTCTTATTGGGTGATCCGGTTTGTGTAGTTTAATGAAAGAGTATAATTTAGGAGGCTGTGGGTTCATGATATTCCGGTATTTCTGGTCTGTTGGATTTACTATTGATTTTGAATTTTCTAACTTACGGATTTTGTCGGATCTTTGTGTAACGTTTCAATATTTTGATTATTTAAAAATTTTATTGTTTTGTTATTATATTCTAATTTATCTATAGCAATAGTAGTGTTATCTTTGTCTGCTTTTGTAAACACTATGTTGTTTTCTATTGATTTCTTTTTAATTGATATGGCTGTTCTATTCACGTTGTAACAGTAATTTTTGGTTTCACTATACACATCTGCAATAGATTTTGCAATTATACTTTTTTCGATATTGTTAGCAGTTTTGTTTAAGGCTACTTTACAATCCACACCTGAATATTTCAAAGTTTTCTGATTATTATGTTGGAGCAAGTTGTGTTTAAATCCTTTCACTAAAAGTTGTATTTCGCTATTACTAAATGTAGTATCTGTTAAACTTATAAATCTATTGAAAACATTATGGTTCAAAAAACTTCTTGTATAATAAATATTGGGCTTTTTACTATCGCAAATTGGATTATTTAGTTTTTTACACTGTGTATTGAATTTTTTATCTATTATATTATCCATATTAATTCTCACGTTAGAATCTAGGATGTCAAATTCTATATTATTAAGTTTTTTGAACCATAATTTTTTCAATAGATTTATAAATTTAACAGATACTACATTTAGTAACAGCGAGATACAACTTTTAGAGAAAGGATTTAAACACAACTTGCCCAACATACTAATCAGAAAACTTTAGAATATTTAGGTGTAGAATGTGAAGTAGCATTAAACAAAACTGTTAACAATATCGAAAAAAGTATAATTGCAAAATCTATTGCAGATATGTGTAGTGAAACCAAAAATTCCTGTTACAAAGAGAATAAAACAGTCATTTCAATCTAAAAGAAATCAACAGAAAACAACATATTGTTTACAAAAGCAGACAAAGGTAACACTGCTATTGCTATATATAAATTAGAATATAATAACAAAACAATAGAATTTTTAAATAATCAAAATATTGAAATGTTATACAAAGATCCGACAGAAAAGTACCAACAACAAATTAAGCTAGCGTTAGAAAATTCAAAATCAATAGTAAATCCAACAAAACAGAAATACCTGAATATCATGAACCCACAGCCTCCTAAATTATAATCTTTCATTAAACTACACAAACCGGATCACCCAATAAGACCTGTAGTTTCTTTTTATACAGCACCCTCATATAAACTTTCAAAAAAACTGTTAGAGATTATTTTAGAACACACTAAATTTTCACCTAAAATGTTGTATTTTCAAATACAACATTCTCAATTACCTAACAACTCCAGATTAATTTCATTTGACGTAAAAAACCTTGTTCCTAGGATTCCTCCTACAGAAACTTTTATTTTAGTTAAGAACCTGTTGGACCAAAATAGTGCAAATCCAACCATTACATCTGAAATTTTACATCTTCTTGAAGTTTGCATAAGCCAGGACTACTTTGAATATAATAATCAAACATACACAAATAACTGTGCAGGACTTATAATAATGGGCAATCCTCTAAGTCCATTGCTATCAGATAGTTTTATGGATCATCTAGAGACAAAGATTTCAAAACATCCCATATTCAAACAGTTTTTATATTGGTGGGGATACGTAGACGACTTACTGGTATGTGTCACAGGAACTAACAGGCAATTCGACCAATTTTTATCGTATATTAATTCATTTCACAGTCATATTGAATTTACAATAGAAACAGAACAAAATCAATAGATAAATTTTTTAGATTAAAAAAATTATCAGACTTAAAAACAAACATGACTTCTCTATATTTCATAAACCTACCCATACTGACACGACTATAAAAAATTCATCATCCCATCCCACACAACGTAAACTGGCAGCCTATCATAGGATGTTACATAGATTAACAGAAATTCCGATGTCAATATACAACTTTGAGACAGAAGTAAATATCATTTAGCAAATAGCAGTAAACAATGGATACAACGAACAAACGATTAATAAAATTTTAAATGAAACTACACAAGAAAGCCCTGAAATTAGTATTATATAAAAAAAGTTTTTATTTCCGATGTCTCTATATAATTTCTATACTCAGTTTAACATATTGTATCTTACACGGCTATAGTATCTAAATACGTCTGTTTGTAGTTTATTTTAATTATTTATAGATATGAAACTGGATTAGAAAAACTGGAGTTCGCAGCTGGACAGGTTGGTTTAATGCAAGATGAACTAACCGAACTGCAGCCAAAACTAATAATTGCATCAGAGAAAACTGAAAAACTGATGGTCAAAATTGAACAGGATACGGTTGTTGTCGAAAAACAAAAAGAAGTAAGTTTTAATTAAAACCGCTAACGATAGATATAAAATATTACGTTTATTAACTTCCAATTTTTTATTATATCATTACAACATTAATGTAATTTCTAGATTGTGGCAGCCGATGAAGCTGTTGCAAATGAAGCAGCTGCGGCTGCACAAGCTATCAAAGATGACTGCGAATCAGATTTATCCGAGGCCATTCCAGCCTTAGAAGCTGCTATAGAAGCTTTGGATACATTAAAGCCTGCAGATATTACAGTTGTAAAATCCATGAAAAGCCCACCTTCTGGTGTAAAACTAGTTATGGAAGCTGTAAGTATAATAAACAATATTATTAATATTTTCTTTTAGCACGTTATTTTTCATTAATTCTAAGGGTATTTATTTAGGAAAATTATTTACAATTTGAAAATGGATGTCGACCGGAACAGATTGATATAACTCTACACCATTAGGTGTAACACCGTCTAAAATTTTAACTCCTCTCGAATTTAAAGATAAAGATTCTTGAAGAATGTTTCTATAGACTTTAAAACTTTGACTACCATGTGTATCCAAAGGATTTTGATTTTTAATTGTACCTGTACAAACAATATTGCTTAGGTACCAAAAAGTTTTGAAAAACAAAATGAAATAAATGTATTAACATCAGTTGTAGAAAATCCTACAATAATTTCTGGGGTCATTGCAGATCAGTTTAATTATCATAATTCTACGGTCTAAAAATTTTGAAAAGGAATAAATTCCGTTCATATGAACTGAATACGTTTCATCAATTTTATTGCTTTGCAAACAATACTACACTAGTAGTAGTAGTATTTGTAAAAATTTGCGTAGTTTAGTATTTGTGTATAATTTAATCACAAAATAAAAATATTGACAATTCAAATATTGTCAATTATCAGAATAATCAATACTGATAACGCAACATGTCATACACATTCTTGTACCTCGTTTGGCCTGACTTTAAGGGGTGGCCTTAAAAATGTATTATATTTTTACAAAATTTTGGACTACATTTAATTCGTAGAACAATTTTAACATTTTTTTTTAATATATATTTTAGTCCTCTACAAATAGTTTTTTACGACTTTTGATGTAAAATAAATAGGGAAGCAGGAATTCAACAATTTAGAATTTCCCATTGAATTCCCTATGGCCCGTTTGGCGATTCGGCCTTCGATAATAAGTAAATTCACATGTTATTTCGTTATCTATACTTATATTTGTGATATTTATTATAAGCTTACATAATAAAGCAGTTGATGCTTTTACACGTATTAAAAACGCCTCAGAAAACATCGGATTTCTGATCAACTGACAGAAAACTGTATCAAGAATGCAAAAAAATAACTTTTGGTACAACACGAAACTATAGAAATGGTGGAATAATTCTGAAAGAGTGACCTAGGGTCACTGATTGACTGTAAAAACAACACATCCAAAGAAATAAGAAAAAGAATACGCGTGGCTAACCTCGATTATTTTGGTCTAGACCCTCAATTAAGAGCGAGACATATGTTAAAAGCAACAAAGTACAAACTTTATAAAACAATAATACGCCCAGTGTTCACTTACTGATCGGAAATGTAGACAATGATGACAGATCAATAGTTACTGTGAATATTTAAAGGAAAACTATTGAGGACCATATATGGCGGTGTTAATGAACAGGGTCTGTGGAAAAGGCGATATAATTTCGAACTCTATAAACTTTTTAATGATGCAAATATTGTGAAATCCATCAAAATTAACCGCTTAAGATGGATGGGCCATGTTAAGCGGATGGATGAATTTTATTCTTCCTAAATAACCTCGTTATATCCTGTAGTCATCAGAAATTATAATATTTTAGAACTTTTTCAATGTTATTAGCGGGAGAGCTTACATATTATTTTTCCATTTTAAGTATCGACAGTAGTTTTGTAAGTTCACTAATTAATAACATTTGCGTACTCTTGCCCCTACAAATGAAGCAGTAGTACACAAGTGCGTATTTTTGCCATAAAACTAAAATAAAACCCCAAATAAAAGAGATGGTGGCGTTTAAAAATAACCAATCTTTTTTGATAAAAATCAAACGTAAAATGCAAAACGTTTATCTAAAAGAAAACTGTATTTGGCAAGGTCGTCAGAGATTCCCATAAAATTTAAAAATCTGAAAGAGCTAGTTTTTATACCGTCCTTTCGAAAAAAGGCATTTTTCGTTGTCTCACAAAAAAAAAGAAATGTTTTGGGCAGTCGCTTTAAAGATACGCCTTCATAACCATTATTATGTACTTCGCAGACTTTGGCGACAAATAATCTGTATGATTTTTTTCACAAAACCTTCACTACGACAAAATCATCAGGTAAAATATTTGGTACATCATTTGTCTTGGCCTTCATCGCTATCGGAAAAATAAATGTCACAATAATCAATACCTTCTTGATAGGAGTGTACTACTGATTCATCAGATGATGATTCGTCGAAAACTTTTCTTTTGGCAGCACAAACTTTAGCACTTTAGGATTTGATCTTTTAATTCTTCAGTAATACTGTTCTCTCCTTCTCTTTTTCTGTCTCGTTTTCTATTTGTTCTTCTAAAAGTCGCTTCTTATTAGGTGCCGATGTTAGAAGGGTTTACTTTAAACTTTTCCTGGTTCGTTTCCTTTTAATCTTAATTTTTGGGAAGTGAATAATGTCTGGAGGTAAAATTACTGCTGTTCTGATTTTGATGACGGCTGGGGCTCTTTCGTGCCAGTAACAGTTTCCATTTTAATATTTGAAAGACCAGATACAGAAATTCTGACTTCCGATTTTAATGACGGCTGGGGCTCCATCGCATAAGTAACAAGTTCTTTTTCTTCTTTCTGAAACTGGATAAAAAGATGACTTTAATTGTCTGAATCTTCACCTAAATCTTGCTCTGTTACTTCTGCTGGCATAAAATCTACGTCCGAAAAAATATTTTTATCTAATGGGTAGATTCATGTAGACCAAACGCCCTCTCTTGATATATCTACACTTGATATATCTACAGTTTTTGTAAAAGCTGTGAAAAAAAGACCAGCCACATAGTAAATAAAGAGAACCTGTGCTGGATGTGAACTGATCTAGCTATCAGCGACGCGACGCTCTCATACTATGCTTCTAATGGTTTGAAAAATGTCCGATCGAGTGGCTGGTTTTATGGCTGCTATGTGGTGGCAGACTTAATAAATGAATAAAATTATCTTTTGCAAATATTACTGTTTAAATACTTGTGTGCGATATATGATTACCTAGAATCAGAATAACGGTGTTCTTCTCTGTTGGACTTGTACGTTTTTTAAAATATTCCAGGTACTTGATAAACGTCGGAGTGTTCATGTAATCACTATCAGTAAGAAGCCATATCGCAGGTAGTAGACCCGTCTTTGATTAGAAGATTTATCCGTTTTCGAGCAAATAAGAAAAATTGAGGGACATCGTGATCAGTTGTACTCATACAGCAAACAACCGCAATTGTTTGTACTTGCTCGGCAGTTACAGCTTTTGCTACATCTTCTAACTTGAACAACATGTTTGTGCAGATCGTTTGGGACGGTCCAAATGCCCGTTTCATCGAAGTGATCGATAAGGTTGAGAGCTAACATGTTTTTTATAGTGCCAAAATTTCAAATACTATCCTGGTTGCACTCATTGAAGCTCATTGTTCTAGCAATACTTGTTTTTCGTGGAACTCGTAAAGATGGTAGGTTCCTTTTCATGAAAGATCTAGTGAAGTCTTGACCAGCCAACTGATTTACAGATGAAAATAAATGCTTAATACGCTTTCTTACACAATAAGAGTAAATTTAAAAAGGCAATAACTTCAGCGTCATTCCATAAAGTTGTTTGTCGGGTTCTTTGCAATGCTGCACTATTCCGTTTTCTTGGATATTGGTTAGAACTTCTTTAAATCTAACTAAAGACTGCACACCATTTCTTTTTTTTAACCTTGGCCGTAGTGTCGCTTTATGAAATCCCACAGATATTGCTATTTGACGTATAGAAACGCCATTATTAATAGATTCACGAGCTTTGCACAAAATAACTTCTGTCAAAGGCTTGCGCTTTGATTTTCTTCTGTAGTAAGTTGTTAAACAGAAACCAAGATTTAGATGAATTAAATATTTAATTTAGTTCCAAAATTAGTAGAAACAAAATTAATTTATTTTACGCGACACAACTCTCGCGTATTTTTACCCTATTCGTCAACAGTGTGTAACGATAAGACTACCAAAGAGATTATTGTAAAAATAATCCTTCAATCAACCATGGGAGCTTATCGTCTATATCTTGCCTAACTCAATATCTCAAGGGTGAGTTCGTCTTGTCTTAAACTACGGATTGAACCATCTTAGCTGATAGCAAATAAGACAAATTTTAACCAAACATATTTATTAAAAAGAATACAGAACAATAATTAACCCTGCCAAAGCTTAACAATTGATTAGTGATTCCTATTGCTTCGATCGATGGGCAGCTTGTGTGTTCTAGCTATCAGGTCCTCCAATTAAAGGTTGTAGTTTAAGGAGAGCTGCAGTCACTTGTGGTTGTATCTTCTGATTAAAAAGTCCAATAAAGGTAATACTTTTGGTACTAATAAAGTTGTCAATATGCCAATAAAGTTGCTAATATGCCCAATAAAATTCCCAATAAACTAAAAAAAAGGAACAGCTTGCATTAGAGACACATCAAGAAGAAAGGACTAACTTCCTTGCCACCTTACAAAATTACAATTGAACAAATCGCGTATGGCAAGTATAAAATGAAATATGAGTGTTACTACTTAGTTCAATTTTGTTAAGGTTTCTAGGTGCATATAATCGATAAAAAAATCATATTTAAGAAACGTGGTTTAGTAAAAGAAGTAATGTTATGAAAATTGGAAATGCGGCCAGAATTATAGAATAAATATCACAACTAAAGTACTTACCCCAAAAGAATTTTTAAACCATAAAATGAGTCTAACAATTTTTGCCTTTTTTTATAAATATCAAAATGAGGCAAAAAATAATCCCACTACGTTAGAAAAGTTGTTTGGACAGAACGTGGGAGACTAAATGAAGTTAGCACAGATGGCATAGGATGTTGCTATTTCATGAAACTAGCTTGTCTGCCAACACAAAACAGAAAAAGAGAGGGCGAATATTTATTCTACGGGACAGACAGAGAGAGTAAATAAAGACAGAGGAAGAAATGGAAAACAGAGGGAGAAAGAGAGGGCGCCAACTACGTTTTAAATAAAAGATAGTAAAAATTAAACTGAAGGTAAAGAAATTAATAAATAAATAAAGAAATTAAAACTAAATAATTATTTAAATATAAATTAATTGAGATGTGACGCTTATAACGCTACAACTGTCAAAATAATCTGTTGAGATTTTAAGGACTAACCTCAATCGAAAAATCTTAACAAAATAACCCAAAATCGAGCCAAGAAAACACCCGATTAAACTAATTCAACGAAAAATGCCAATTTGATTTTATCACAAATTATTTTGTTATGCCAACATTACAGTGTAATAATAACAAATAATATTTATCTCATAGTTTATAAACAACGCCTTGAATCAGCTTTAAATTTGGAACAACACATAAGGCACACTGTTACCAATTAAACTCTTTGTAACTAAAATTTTTCAAACTGGACATTAGCGGCAAATTTAAATGAGGTGCGTTCTTTTGCTTCGTACGTGTTTTTACCCCAACTACTCTATCTGGACGATGTGCAGGGCGGCTTAAGGGAGATTGGATTAAGGAGATGGAGAAGACATACACTGGACAGGGAAGGATAGAAGAATGTTTTGAGGAAGGCCAAGATGATGAGGATAAGCCTATAATAACTAAAATAATTCAGATTTGTGGATTTGTTACAGTTCCGACCAAGCTCTTTTTTGCTTATTTCCCTGGTGTATAAAGGTTATAGGTAAATCTTCAATCCAAACATTCTTTATAAACATTCAAACCAACCTTTCGTCAATTTTCTTTTATAAATTGACGAAAGGACAAGTGACCACGAAAAAGTATCATTGTTTCATGAAATTAAAGACTTTCTTCTGGAAATAATACAGGGGAACTATTTCTATTAAAAATGGTAAAAAGGACTAAAAAATTGTATTCTTCATTATATTATAGATGAAACATACGCAACAGCAACTTAAATCTATTTAAATAAAAATATTTTGATATTTCATTTTTAGTTATTGGCATTTTGCGTCATTAATCTTGAATATACGTGAATTTTTCTAAATAATTCTCAAATTTTACACAATTTCAATATAATTTCTAAAATATTTGTCTTACCTAACCTACTACAAAACCATGAATGTGTATTTAATTTACGATTTTAGATTTGTGTAATGAAACAGATAAAACCAGAAAGAAAACCAGATGTTGCGACGGGAAAAATTATAGAAGACTATTGGGGTCCATCTGTTAAACTGTTGGGAGATATGAAGTTTCTGGAAAATTTAAAATCATACGATAAGGATAATATACCTCCAGCTGTAATGAAGAGAATAAGAGAAAGGTAATTAAGCAATGAACGAAAGTTTAAGGGAATAAAAAATATTCTTTATTTCGATAATTATATTATTTGACTGATAGATTCATGATTTCACATAATTTAAAAAGAAATCCGTTTTTATTTATATTAAAAACAACTTATTATTATTTAAAATTAATTTGATATCATAAGTTTTTAAATTTTTCCATTTTAGATATATGCCAGACCGAGAATTCAATCCAGAGAGAATCAGGCACATCTCCACCGCTTGTGAAGGACTTTGTAAATGGGTTAGAGCTATGGAAGTGTATGACCGCGTCATCAAAATCGTCGCTCCGAAAAAAGCTCGCCTGGCAGTAGCAGAAGCTGAACTTGCAGCACAAATGGATACGTTAAACGCTAAACGAGCCCAGCTAAAAGAGGTAATAACTTTTTTTTGTCTTAGTTCTGTCAGGTTTTTCCTGTTATCATAATAATATTTTCACTAGTTTTTTTAAACAGGCGGCCATCATAGGTTAGGTTAGGTTAGTTCAATATGAGTGGGCGCTTAACCACCCTTCCACTCGACCTAAGAGTTCTATTGTGGCTTATCCCTAGCCTAAAGTTGTCCTCTTTAACACAATAATCTATTGTGGCCTTAGATGACACTTCTACGAAGTAGTAGGGTTCGAGTTAACAATGGTCAAATATATTGAGTCTTCTCCTATCTAACCATCTAACCCTGGGCAGTTGCACATAGCGTGTTCCTCCATCTCATCAGCCTGACATAATCTACAATTTGCACTTTCTGTCAGTCCGATTTTGTTCATGACCCCTTGGGGCTACATTGTTTCATTAAAAGACCAACGATAAATCATTCGCCGTCATTTTTAGTAGATCTTTTGATTTTTTCTTCGAAAGTTGAGAGATAAAAGACTTCGAATGATCGAGATCCATTTGTTCGTACCAGTGGTTACGTTTTATTCATTCCACTCAGACCGATATTGATTTTTTGGTTGTTCCTTTGGCTATTAACCACCAAAAAGAACCAACAAAAGGTTCTGGATCTATGAATGTTCCTTTTACCCCTCTCTTGGCAAGTTGGTTCGCATTTTTGTTTTTTTCAATATTAGTATATCCAGGCACCCAAAGTAGCGTTACTTTGTTACTTTTTTTGATCCGAATCTTTAGTTCCAAACTAACTTGGAATAAATCCGATTCGATTCCACTGTCTTGAATACTGCCTGGTTATTAGATATAATTTTTATAAATCTGTCTCAGTAGTGTCTCTTTATGAGTTTCGGCAGGCACATATCTATAGCATAAATTTCCGCTTTGAAGATAGTAGAATGATTACTCCCATGATAGTGAATGCTCTCACTAAGGCTTAGTCTTGATTACCCTCCGTACACTTTAGCTTCAACTTCTTCATCAGTTTTAGAGCTGTCTGTAAATCAGTATTGATCTTTCATTATATTACTAATTTTATTTGACTCGCATTTACACCTTTCTGAAAAGAGGACGGTAAATGGCCTTTCGAAATTATATTTGTGTTGTATTGCATCTGGTACCATTTTAAAAATTTCGTCCAGTGCTGTTTCTGTTGATTTTTCTTCTTGATGTGTGTGCTGGTTGTCATACAAAGAAGATCCCTTAATGACCCCTCCTAGAAGCGGTCATATTCTCGTTTTCTATTTTTTTTTTCTGTATACAGTGCTAGTCAAAAGTCCATTCCCTCTCGTATCTTTTGAACGGTTATTGGTATTATAGTGAAATTTGGGGGAGATAATAAACAGACGTAGGCTCCTCAACTAGTCATAACAGGTGACGTAATAGTGGTAAATGGGACATTATGCAAGTGATACGTAACAGTTACAAAAACCTTTTAACTTACAAAAACTACTAAAACTCGTTTATAGACACTGTGCTTAAACGAGTAAGGTTGGTACCGTCAACACTCACCAGCCGATCGCGGTAAATCCCAGCTGGCCAGAACATCGTAACGACGCAAAAGTAACCTAACGATTTTTGGATATGCACGGTTACGATGTTTTGCCTTTGACTGGTACTGATTTCTGTTAGTAAATATAAAATGCTTTATTATTTTTAACCCATTAACGCCGAGAAAAGAAAATTATTTTTATATGCAATTTTATAATTTTATTTAAAAACACAATAGAAACAGTTCATGAATTTGTCCCATTTGTATGAAATGGTTTAAAACATGTAATGTAAAGCGCAATGTTGCATTTTTCACATATTGTACGCCCTTTTGAACTGCAAACTGGCATGGCGCACCTCTTTTTTTGCCCTCAGGTACAGAGGTAATCCAATGATCCTTGCAGTCAAACCTGATGCAGTCAGACACTCGAAAATCACTTCCTGCTGCTCTACCTATTTTTCCAGTTCTTTTAGCGGGGAGTTTATATGTCGTTAAGTAGGTCTAAAAATTAAATGAATTAAATGAAATGAAATGAAATGTAATTATTTTCTGAGTTTTGTATAAAAATATTTTTACCTGACAAAAATTTCTTCTAAACTCTAAGAGACTAATATTCTTCCCGGATTTCCTACATATCGTCCAAGTATTTTCAAGAGCTGCGTCTATGAGGTATGTAAATATTGGCCAGTACCATTTTTTGGAACGTATGTCGGCTCGGCACTGAAAAAAAAATTACCCATATATTTTCATTTATATAAATATTGCTCTTTATTTCTTACCAAGATATATTACTCTCCATGAGATCAGTTCCTCCCATGCTGTTATTATACTGCGAAAGAAGATATGGCCTAGGTACTTGTATTGTATTGCTATCCTTTTTGGAATATCTTTCCACATTTTTGACCGGCTGAACACCACAACATGTGCTTGCAGCTGTTACAACTTTGTTGTCTCTCCAGCGAACATATTGAATACCAGTCTCCTTATTCAATGTTGAACAATATTCCCCTCGTCCCCTTTTTTCCATCGTCTTTTTGGAAACAAGTGGACAATCTCTAAGAATTCTATTATCCGTCACAGTACCTGTAACCTCGTACCCATTAGCTTTAAGAGTAATTAACAAGTTTGTGTTGGTAAATAAACTATTAACGAAAGACTTGTATCTCAGAGATCCTTTGTCACTCAATTCTTTGATCATCTGTACCATTGGAGCTGCAGCTTTTCCGAAATATTTTTGATATTCTTCATTAGATCTAGGACTTTTTCCCTGATATACTTCAAAGTTTATCAAATATCCACTAGGTGTATTCATACACCACACCTTATAGCCAAACCTTACAGGTATTCCTCTAATAAATTGTTTGCATCCATGACGCCCAAAGTACCGTATCATCGATTCATCATAAGCTATATTTTCTTCTGGTACAAAATGCTTTATGAACGATTTGTTTAACATATCTGTAAATGGTCTTAGTTTGTACTTTGTACATTTTGTCATTTTTATCTATATTATTATTGTCTGCAAAATGAAGTAAACGATAAATTTGTAAAAACCTGTCACGTCTCATGGCATCAGACATCAGAATATTTTGCATGTCAGGGCTTCTCTCCCAGTAGCTTCTCTTAGGTGGTAGCTTATTATATTCACTTACTAAGAGAATTGACATAATTCGTTCAATTCAGGAAGTGTCACGTTAGGGTTCGGTTGATTTATCAGTAGAGCATATTTTGTTGTTTCAGACACTATCATTTCTAGCAACTCATCAGTAATAAATAATTAAAACAGTTGCACACAACTCTCTCTGAATATTTACTGTAATCCCCTTTTGGAAAGTTACGCGGCATACAATGAAGGTCTCCGTCAATATAAGTTGTAGGTTCTGACAGATCAATTACCATTCAGGGATTTGTATTAGTTTTTATTTCATAAGAACTATTTACATTCTGCAAATCCTTATCATAGCTTGCTTCTATGATCGTCTGCACGAAAATATAAAAAGATATGTTTTGACTACATAACCGCCAAGTGGGTCCATATGGGTACAGCAATATTTACATGAATTTTTAATTTCCTCTTGTAATTTTGATACAAAAATATGCACACTACGTTATATTTTAAGGTCTTTTAAAATAAGCAAAATTGATTTGATCCTAATATTCCCAAAAAAGGTACTGAAAATTTACTTACATAAATCGGATGTCCATTATTAAACACTTTTTACTATAACACGATTTTCTAACTTGCTTAGCTTGTGAAATCTAATAAAACACTGATGAGTATTCATTAACGCAGATTTAGACAAGTCTAAGTAAAGTATACATGCGGAAAATGTAATGTTGTTTGCCTCTTTTATTATAATTTTATTGTGTTAAACAATAACTTTACAGCTGGGTCCATATGATGACTGTAGGCGCTAATAGATTAAATTCACCACAGTGTTTGTACTGCTTACGATGTTTTGGTCAACGAAAAAACTTTTAGGATTACTTTCGATGAAAAATCAAAAATTCAAAAAATTGTTGGTAACGATGTTTTCCTGGAAGGGCTCTACATGTACTTTCATTAATATGTAACATACAACATTTTTTGTTTCTGTTGTGTAGGTTGCTGATAAATTACAAGCACTTAACGACGAATTTGCTGCTGAAACAAAGAAAAAGAAAGATCTGGAGGACGACATATATATTTGTGCTCAAAAATTAGACAGAGCTGAGAAGTTAATTGGGGGCCTCGGTGGAGAAAAAGCTCGGTGGTCAGCTACTGCCAAAGAATGCGAAGCTTTACTTGGCAATGTAATAGGAGACGTTATTCTATCTTCAGGGGCCATCGCTTATTTGGGTCCGTTTACAGTCAATTACAGGTATGTCCATTGAAATTACTAACGTGGTTTTTTAGCTAAGTAATATTAGGACATATTTGTGAGTAACCTCTTATAGTTGTACACTTGGGAAGATCCCTTTGTGACTGACATTTTTATTTCTTATATAGACAATTAGATATTAAGTATTTATATTTTCAGGCAATCTTTATTAAAAGAGTGGAATGAGTACGCCTTAAAATCTGGAATTCCCTGTTCTAGTAATTTTTCATTAGTTGTTACAATGGGCGAACCTGTAGTTATACGAGCTTGGAATATAGCTGGACTACCAGTGGACAACTACAGTATTGAAAATGGAATAATAGCAACAACAGCTAGAAGGTGGCCTTTAATGATTGATCCACAGGGTAAAATCAAACTATTTTTTCAGTTGTATATTTATTCACACATATTTAAAATATAAACTGTATTTATGGTAGGAGTATATTAAAGTTAAACTTGAGAAGCTAATCACTCAACTTAAAAAGAGGATAATTCCTGGGAGTTCGCACTATCATATAGTTAAAAAACTCAAACATCGAAGTAAAATACTTCTGTTGTAATTGGTATGTGCAATTAAAATAAAATTTAAAAATTCAAAAGGATTTGGTTTAAGACATTTTTGACTAATCAGTCAATCTTCAAAAAAGTAATCCCACTAAATTAATAAAAACATAAGGTAAAATATTGACTGTTATATGCAAAAATGTGGTTAATTACTTAGTTTGCAGTACTTGAAAAATAACCTTAACCCATTTTCGGCCAATGGTGCGTATACGCACCATTACCTTTTAGATTTTTTTTTTATTAAAGCATTTCAACAGAAAACCTCATTGCGGTAGTTTAATATACAACCTTTAAACATTTAATTCAATATATTATCTTTCTATTTTTATTGTTTCCTTGCTTTCTGTGAATTTTTTAATATAGTTCATGTTTACCATTTTAAAAATGCCTAGCCATAACTTTAAAAATAACCTATATGATACATTTTTGTTTGGACGCTTTTTATTTATTACTGTTCTGAAAAGATAAACAAATCTATGTATAAGTCATTTTTGGTGATAAGATATTTATTTTTCTAAGAAACAGATTGTCATTATATAGTGGTGCGTTAGCGCACCGTTGGCGGAATCTGTGAATAAGTACGCAGCAACTCGACAGATCTTGTCGGCTCATTCTTTAGTAGTTATAGTGGTTAGTTATGCGGTAGATTTCGTATCGACAAGAACTAAGTATACACGTGCTGTTTATTACTGAATTTAGCTATGCCAAAAAGACATATTTTGACCCATAGGGAGCTAGAAAGTGCGTTAGAAGAAATTGTTAATGATTTAGAAATAGAACGAGGTATGTTGATATAATTTTTTATTTTTCGTGTATAAATAACATTATAAATTTTGATAGGATTTGTGGATGCTGTCTATATACCACCTAATGTAGACGAGTTGACTGATGAAGAGGATATTGACGAGAATGTACTTATGAATGACGAATCAATTGATAAAGAAATAGCTGGTACCTTGGAAATTGAGGTTGATATCGATAATGACATTTGCGATGAGCCTGAAGAACCTGTGCCAGGAAAGAAAAGACGATTTTCTGGTAAAAAAGAGAGGGAAAATATAGAGTGGGAAAAAAAAGAAGTTGTTTATACCCATTTACCTACCTCAAATGAACATAATAGTCTACAACAAATAAAAGACGCACTGGAGGGCAAAACACCATTGGAAATTTTCTTAATGTTTTTTGACGAAGAACTTTTGACCATGATAGTTGAGTTTTCAGTAAAATATGCTCGTGATAATAATCGTCAGGATTTTAAATTTTGCATAAAAGACTTAAAAAAATTTCTTGGTATTTTGATACTATCGGGTTACCACATATTACCGCAAACAGATTTATATGGAGTTTGGACGAAGATAAGGGTTTGCCTATTGTAAGAAAATGTATGAGTAGAAACATGTTCAGGAATATCAAAAGAAATATCCATCTATCAAACAATGCAAATCTCAATCAAAATGATAAATTCGCAAAACTTCAACCATTTTTTGAAGCCATAAACGCTAGGAATAAACAGTTTGGAATATTCGCCCACAATCTATCGATCGACGAACAAATGGTACCCTATTTTGGTCGCCATTCCTGTAAGATGTTTATAAAAGGAAAGCCGGTAAGATTTGGTTTCAAGTTGTGGTGTTTGTGTTCATCAGATGGGTACTTATTTACTTTTATACCGTACGCTGGAGCAAACACGGAAAAAGAAAAATCTCCACTTGGACTTGGTGGCCAAATAGTGATTGACCTTTTATCTGCACTTAAAAATCCATTGCACCACAGAGTTTTTTTTGATAATTATTTTTCGTCGTATAAGCTTTTCGAAAAATTACAACAGATGAATTATTTTGCTACGGGTACCATTCGAGAAAATCGAACAAATAAAGCTCCTTTAGATGGGGTCAAAATATTAACAAAAAAAGACAGAGGAGCATATGACTATGCTTACAGTGAAAAATCCAAAGTTACTCTGGTTAGGTGGAATGATAATTCAGTTGTTACAGTCGCTAGTAATAATTTTGCTGTTCAACCACTTACAACTGCTAAAAGATACAACCGAAAAGAACGTAAAGATATCCAAATCCCACAACCTGACCTCATAAAACAATATAATAAATACATGGGCGGAGTAGATCTTCACGACAACGCCATTGCTAATTACAGAACAAATATACGAGGTAAAAAATGGTGGTGGCCTCTTTTCATCAATACTTAGATAGCGTCATAACTAATTCGTGGAAATTATATAGAATAGCAAATAGTTCAAATATGTCTCAATTAGAATTCAAATCTTATTTAGCAGTCTGTCTGATGAAATGTGAAGGCGACGCTACAAAAAGTACCAGCATTGGGAGGCCACCAAGAGAACCCGTTCCATCAGAAGTAAGATTTGATAAAATGGGACATACAATAACAAAACATGCCGATAAGACTCGAAAAAGGTGCAAAGAGTGTAAAAATCATACTATTTACCTTTGTATAAAGTGTAATGTACATTTACATGCAGATTGTTTTGAAAAATTTCACAATAGAAATTAAATTAGTTTTTTTTGTTTGTACAAATTATGTTCTTAGATTTGGCCAATGGTGCGTACACGCACCATGTCATAATTCAAACATTTTTGAAAAAATTCCAAATTTTTTTATACTTCTGTTACAAATAGCTCTCATTAACATAGAAAAATAAAACTTTACTAAAAATTAACGATTTTTTCTTATTTTGGCCAGAAATGGGTTAAAACCAAACAGTGGTTGGGTTTAAATGGATTAAAACATATTTAAAAATGTTAAATTATATGGCAGTATGCCGATGAAATTAGATTGCTAATGGGGAACATAAGTCTCTATTCGTAAGGGTTTTCTACATCCGAACTGTAAGAATGTTGAATACCAACTAATCTGAGATGCCGGAAATGATAATTATCACAAGGTTTCGTTATATATATATATATATATATATATATATATATATATATATATATATATATATATATATATAAGCGCTTCTTTAAAAACCTTAGACATTTGCAAAGAAATTTTGTAATATAAACCGATTGAGAGAGGAAATAACATCTCTACCTCATATTTGAAGTTCAAATTTTGTTCAAAAGTTTGATCTTTAAAAATCCGAATATCTTTATTATATTTTCTTCTTTTCAGGCCAAGCAAACAAATGGATTAAGAATATGGAAAAGGCCAATAGACTCCAAGTCATCAAACTTACTGACGCAAATTATGTGAGAGTTGTAGAAAATTCCATAACTTTTGGTACCCCGGTTCTACTAGAAAATATAAGCGAAGAAATCGACGCCATATTGGACCCTGTTTTAGTAAAAACGATTTTTAAAAGTCAAGGCGTCTGGTACTTGAAGCTTGGTGATAACGTTCTCGAATATTCCTTTGATTTTCGATTGTACATCACCACCAGACTAAGAAATCCCCATTATTTACCAGAAATAGCGGTGAAAGTAACGTTGGTGAATTTCATGATAACTCCACAAGGATTGCAGGATCAGTTGTTGGGTATTGTGGTAGCTAAAGAAAAACCCGAACTAGAAGAAAAGAAAAATATGATGATAGTAGAAAGTGCCAATAACAAAAAAATGTTAAAAGAGATTGAAGACAAAATTTTAGAAGTAAGGACACTACATTATTTTATTACAAACCTTGGTTTTTTTATTTGTAGTTTTATTTTTGTTATTGTGATTCCTACTCCTATTGAAGGTGGTTATCATTATTATCTAAGCTATTTGTATTTTATTGGCAGCTACTGTAAGAAGGTTTACTAGATTGCAATTATATCACTTTCGAAGGTTTTACAGCTTCTTTGTTCTATGTCTTTTTTAGAATTACTCTTTCCTTGCATCGCAGTCTTTCTATTTAATAATACTATAACCTCTGGTAATAATTCTTATGACTTTTGCAATCTTTTAGTGTACAATTTGCCAATCGTAACAGTAACGAAGTAGGAAATACATAACACCTTAGGAATCTAATTCGCTGGTCTATAGATGGTCACGAATAATGAATATCTTTGTCATGTGTACAATAATTTGTTTCACAATTTCAATGTGTGTCCTTACTTGGCCATTATTCTCACTTATCCAAATTTATAGATATTTTGTAGATTGCCTTTTACAAATTAATGAAGCAGCTATAGATATGATCTATATATAAACAGTTTGGTATGAGTGGAAAGTGCTCCTCTTGCACCCAGCCATTTTCTCAATCCAAGCTGAGTATTATCTATATTTTCTTCCAGTTTTTTTTATGTAGTCTTCCATGTATTTGTTTAGTAATATTCTTATAAAGGATAGCGTTCTGTACTGGGAATATTTTGGTGCATTCTATCTTTGGTAGCGTTACGAAAAGCAAAATATCTTGGGGAGTACTTCTGTTATGTAGATTATGTTTAATGGGTCTTAGAGTACATGCAGCGTTTGATTGTCAAAGCACGAAATTAGCTCAGTACCCTTTACCCTTATTTTCTATGTAGTTCTTTGTATTTCAATTTATTTCTCCCCTTAGCATCTCCTTCTTTGACTTTTCTTTCTTCCATTAGCTTTAAAATGTTTGATGTTTCTTTTTTATTAAATATATTACAATAGAAGGATACGCTGGTTTACTTTAAGTAAATTTTATTAATTTTAGGTTCTGTCTACATCCGAAGGAAATATACTGGAGGATGAAACAGCAATAAAGATTCTATCTAGTAGTAAAATACTCTCCGAAGAGATCCAGGAGAAACAAAAACAAGCTGCAATAACAGAAAAAGAAATAGACACGGCTCGAAACGGGTATTTGCCTGTTTCTAAACATTCGTCAGTTCTATTTTTCTGCATATCTGATCTAGCAAATATAGATCCAATGTACCAATATTCTTTAGTTTGGTTCATTAATCTGTATATTCACGCCATCGATGTAAGTCCGAAATCTAACATTCTAGAGGAGCGATTGGCGGCTTTGAATGATTATTTCACTAACAGTATTTATAGAAATGTATGTAGATCGCTGTTCGAGAAAGATAAATTGGTCTTTTCGATGGTTTTATCTGTAGGAATACTCAGATCTCAAGTATGTATCAATGAATAAATATATTGTGTATTAAATATACACAATATATAAATAAAAACAATAATAAGTATTATTGTTTTAATTAATGTTACAGGGCGATATAAATGAAGATATTTGGAATTTTTTTCTAACTGGTGGAGTTGCTTTAGATAATCCGCATCCTAATCCGTCTCCAGACTGGTTATCAGATAAGTCATGGTCTGAGATTGTACGAGCCAGCAACTTAAAAGGGTAATATAAGCAAAAATAACATATTAAAATTACAAAAATGTTAATGTTTGCAACAGCTTCCTTCGTGGTGACAGATAAATGCTTACAAGCATGTTTAATAACCTCTATGTTTTTTTTAAATTAACCGTTTTTTGTTTAACAACAAAACGTATCTAATTATACATACACACTTTTTTTAATGAAAAAGTGTTTCAAGTTTAATATGTGTTCTATAGTAAATGGTCAAAAGAAAAGAAGTCAGAAATAAAGACAAAAAATAGAAGAGGATCCACGCAATAATGAGGCAGAAGATAAGACACGCGAAAACACAATTTCATAGTAAAGAATGTAATGAAATTGAACAATATGAAAAGAAACACGGTACATTTCGTCTGCACAAGAAATTAAAAGAGGTCGCTGGAAACAAACGGAAACAAGTATCCCAAAGTTTAGAAGACAGAAACGGACACAGAATATTAGACATAAATATACAGTTAAAAAAATGGGAAAACTATATTTCTGAATTATTTGAAGATGAGAGAGTAGAACACTATACACCGATTGCTATATCAGGTCCATCTATAACAGAAAGTGAGGTAAGACGTTCAATACAAACGGCAAAAATGGAAAAGCACTTGGCCCCGATGAAGTAAGTGCTGAAATACTAAAGTTTTTGGGAGAAAATGGAATGAAAGCTCTGTGTAATCTCTTTAACAGAATTTATGACACTGGGATATTACCAACTGATTGGTTAAAGTCGACATTTGTCACAATACCTAAGAAATATCGTCCAAAGACATGCGGTGATTATCGGACAATAAGTCTGATGAGTCACGTTTTGAAGATCTTCCTGCGAGTAATACACAGCAGAATTTACACGCTGTTAGAGGACAGAATTAGCAATACTCAATTTGGGTTTAGGAGTGGCTTGGGTACAAGAGAAGCCTTGTTTAGTATACAGGTACTAGTACAGAGATGCAGAGATATAAATCAAAATGTGTACATTTGTGCAATCGATTTTGAAAAAGCTTTTGACAAAGTCCGACATAACAAAATGCTAGAAATATTGGAAATAGCTGGATTGGACGATAAAGATCTACAAATAATTACAAATCTATACTGGCATCAAGTGGCAAGAATAAAGGTTGAACAAGAACTGTCGTTTGAAATAAATATAAAAAGAGGAGTGAGACAAGGCTGTATATTGTCGCCTTTACTTTTTAACTTATATTCGGAGGAAATATTTAAGGACGCCTTAATGGAGACAACCGAAGGTATTATTGTGAATGGAGTAACCGTCAATAATATTAAATATGCCGACGATACCTTAGTCCTTGCCATTGCGAAAAAGACCTTCAAAATCTAATGAACAAAATAAAACAGACTTGTGATCAGTATGGATTAAAACTCAACGTTAAGAAAACTAAATATATGATAGTTAGCAAACAAAATTATATACAGAATGACGGTATAAAAGTCGGAGATGCCACACTGGACAGAGTAGAGAAACTCGTGTATCTCGGTAGTAATATCAATGAGAGCTGGGATTCAACCGTAGAAATTAAAAGCCGAATAAAACAAGCCCGAGCTGAAAATGAGAAACGTACTTTGCAGTCACGATCTTAGCATTGATCTTAGAGTTCGTATGACATCTTGCTACATCTTTCCTATCCTGCTGTATGGAGTGGAAGCGTGGACTCTAACTGAGGCTATGCTTAAACGCTTGACAGCCTTTGTGATGTGGGTATACAGACGACTACTGAAAATAAGCTGGGTCGACAGAGTTAGAAATGAGGAGGTCCTTAGACGGCTGAGCCAAACAACACAACTAGTCAATATAATAAAGAAACGCAAGCTGGAATACCTCGGTCACATTATGAGACACCCTGAAAAATATGATCTTTTACATCTGATCATTCAAGGAAAGATCCAAGGTAATCGTGGTCCTGGTAGACGAAGGACATCATGGCTGAAAAATCTAAAGCAATGGTATGGAAAATCAACTACATCGTTATTTAGAGCTGCTGTCAATAAAGTCACGATAGCGAATATGGTAGCCAACATGATATCCAACGATCTATAACGGTCATGGAACTAGAAGAAGAATAGAAAATGGGATGCGCTCATCACGAATATGTTCTTAGTTTTTTTAGCACGCCAGGTTTTCTGGAAAAATGTGTTTGACATATTTCATAGAAGCCGCCAAAAATATCCCTAATTAACTAATATCCAACCTTCCTTATTAACGTCTCTCTATCTCCTTTATATCTTAATAAAACCTCTCTATTTATTGACAGCTTTAAGATTTTTGAAAAAGTAAGCAACGTGGGTAATAACTAACAGGTTAACGTCGAAACTTGATAGCTATCAACCAGTAGAGCAGGCAGGATTCCGAAAAGGTTACAGTACAGCGGATCACATTCTTACAGTCAGAACTCTAATAGAGAAAGCCAATGAATATAACTTGAACGTATATATTGGCTCCGTTGATTATGAAAAGGCATTCGACTCCATAGAACTTTGGGCAATAGAGAGAGCTCTGAACAACTGCAGAATAGACTTCCGATACGGAATGCTTATAAACAATATTTACAAGAAAGCTACAATGAAAATACAAATTGATGCAAAAACCAAAGGTTCACCAATCAACAGAGGAGTTCGCCAGGGAGATGTTATCTCACCAAAGTTATTCACACTTGGACTTGATGATGTGTTCAAAGACATTAACTGGGCAGATAAGGGAGTAAATGTTAATGAAAGAAATTTAAGTCATTTAAGATACGCTGATGACATTGTAATATTCGCTACAAGTTTCGGACAACTACAGACCATGATGATGCAACTATTTTAAGCTTCGGAAAAAGTAGGTCTTAAGATGAACTTGAAAAAAACAAAAATGATGACAAATACACCGAACATTACAGAAATAACGTTGAACGACATAAATTTAGAAACAGTAGGCGAATACATCTACCTGGGACAGATAATGAAAATTAACAAAGAAAATCAAACTCTCGAAATGACCAGAAGAATAAGGTTAGCGTGGACAGGATTTGGAAAACTGAGTTGGATCTTGAAAAACACTAAAATAGAACAGTATTTAAAAACCAGAATTTACGATCAGTGTATCCTCCCTAACGTATGGTTCACAGACGTGGACACTCACCAAGTCCAATGTGGATAAAATAGTAAAAGCACAAAGAGTGATGGAAAGATCAATGCTCGGGGTGAGACTTATAGACAAAAATCAGACAAATGGATTAGAAGCAAAACCAAAGTAAAAGACGCAGGAAAACATGCTGTCAAATTAAAATGGAGCTTCGCAGGACACAATGCCCGACTAAAGGATAAGAGATCTTCTTCTTCATGTACCATCTCCTTTCAGAACGTTGGTTACCATCATAGCTATCTTAATTTTATTCACTGCTACCCTAAATAGCATGATTGTATCAACACCATACCAATATTGCAAGTTCTTCAACCATGAGGTTCTTCTTCGTCCTGGACTGCGTTTGCCTGGTATATTTCCTTGCATGATATTTTGTAGCAACCTATATTTAGGACCTTTCATTACATGTCCGAAATACTCCAGCTTTCTCTGCTTGATGCTTTTTATGAACTCAGTAGTCTTGCTGAGACGTTCTAGTATTGTGGAGTTTCGAATCTTCTCCACCCAGGAAACTTTTAGAATTCATCTATAGCACCACATTTCGAAAGCCTCAAGACGATTTAGATCGATTTTATTCACAGTCCAGGACTCGACAGCATAAAGTAAGACCGAGAACACGTAGCAGCGAGGTAGGCGGATCCTTAATGCCAGTTTTAGGTCTCTGTTACATAACACCTTGGACATCCTTCTAAAAGCAGCTCTAGCCTGCTCTATCCTGGATCTAATTTCGCCGTGACTTTCTGCGTTACAATTTAATTGCTGTCCAAGGTAAACGATTTTATCAACTTGCTTAAGTTTGGTATTATTTACATATACAGACGGTTTTATATGCTGTTGTTTACTTATTACGAGTATTTTGGTTTTTCTTATGTTAAGATCCAGACATGCCTCCCTACAACTATCAACGACACTATCAAGTAGTGTTTGTAGATCTTCTTGACTAGAAGCTAGGAGTACTGTTTCGTCCGCATATCGTAAATTATTGATGACTTCTCTATTCACAAGTATTCCTTCTTGTTTTTCAGAAAGTGCTTTTCTAAAAATTCTTTCGGAGTAAACGTTAAAAAGTAGGGGTGATAAGAGGCATCCCTGCCGAACTCCTCTTTTAATATTGAGAGCCTGTGATTCCACACCATCTACTAAAACTGATGTAGTTTGATTCCAATATAAATTTGCAATTATTCGAACATCTCTGCCGTCCAAGCTAATGTCTTTTAGATCTTCGATTAATATAGTGTGCTTAACTTGGTCAAATGCCTTTTGCAAGTCAATAAAACAACAGTGTATGTCTACAGATATATCACGACATCTTTGAGCAAGTACGTTCATTCCAAACAGTGCCTCTCTCGTTCCAAACCCGTTTCGGAAACCAAACTCAGTGGCATCCAGGTATTCCTCCCATTTATTCTAGATACGATCATGTACTACTTTTATAAAAATTTTCAATAAGTGGTTTAACAAACTGATGGTTCTATAATCAGCACAGGTTTTTGCTGTTGTCTTCTTTGGTGGAGCTATAAACACTGAATTAGACAAACCATTAGGTAGTTGTCCGCTGGTATAAATGGTATTCAAAAACGAAGTTATACAAGTTATACCCTCTAAAACATTGCTATCATTTATAAGCTTATATATTTCAGTTGGAATTTCATCAGGACCAGTCGCTCTGCCATCTTTTGATGATTGTATGGCCTTTATAACCTCAAAGCGGGTTATTAGGGGTCCGTCGCAGTTAGTAATTTCGGGAGGTGAACTACTCCTATCGTCTTCGAATAGGTTCGTGACGTAATTTTCCCATTCTTTAAGGGTGTCCTCTACTTCAAATATTACTTTACCATTTTCATCCTGTAGC